CCTTCGATATTCAGTCTGTTATGTAGTCTGGAGATTCGTTATGTTTATCTATACAATATTAAGTTATCAATACAGTTTTAGATTTTAGATACCAATGGGATACGTTTTGCCTTATTTGGAACTCATTGGGTAGACGTAAATTCATCCCAGTGAAGATATAATAAAATGCGTGACAATTGTGTTCGTTTTTATTCTTTTGTCCAGTTCATATATCTTTGTTTATAAAAATTCATACTCCAACCACTCATTCTAGATAATCACGAACTTATTTAACGGGTATAAAAGTACTTTCTTTTGTTGATTTCCAAGACTCCTATTGGCATATATACCATCCCCAGACGATGCCCCGATATTGTCTTTACACAGATCTCCGTATAGTACTTATGTGGTGCATCATCAGTGACAAAATACACAACTTAGTACACATAAATATAATAAGCATAGTTATCATCAGCAAATAAAATGTAAGTGTATGATGAACACATAGTAGTGTGTTGAACAATTGTACAGTGAACTTGGTTCCTAAAAAAAATATAAACAGCAGAGCCGAGCCCTATAATTGGTACGTGCGTACAATGATGTAACAGTAACATCAATGATGAAGTTGAGTCAGGTTACCAGCGTATATCCAGAGATGAAGTGGGCTTCTCGACAATGGCAAAAGTACTAGTTACAGAGAGTTAAAGTCAGTTGTATAATATTATGTGACTCCAATTTAGTTATCGTATTCATACTTGGTGTAATCTGTTAGTGAATATTGTCTTTAAAATGGACACTCCGAGAATAAAGATAGTCCTCTTTCATTCCAAATGTTGCCATATGGTCATAGGTTTTTAGCCTTTGACAGGAATGGTTTGCTCACCGGCTTTACGTGCTGGTTGTTTTTCCATGAAATTGAAACGACAGATAGCTAACATCTGGTTCTTTAATTAAATAATACGTAAGGCGTTTCCACCCAAGGCCGTTGGAAAATTCAGATTTCAGACCAATGATCTCCAGAATGCAGAGAGGAAGAAGGTTTCGTAAAGTTATTTTAGTCACTAGCCACAATAGGACAACCTCGTGATGATTCCTCACTGCCTGGTGAATTAGACCCCAAGTCAACGGCTCGTGAAACAGTCCTCTAAAAAGTCACCTACTTCAGATTTTGCACAGTAGAAGCATCCAAGCTAACACACAAATCAGATGATAATACCCTTACTTCCCCTCGTTATCAATACAATTAAATTGATATCACTAAATCCAAACACCAACTTCTGTGGTTAGAACATTTTTTACAAATGTCATCTTAGTGACTTCCACATCGCGCTTTATTTGTCAACACTAAGGCCGGGAGGAAATGGCGGGTTGTTGTTCGGTTTGTGGTATGGCGCCGTGGTGTGAAAGGTAGGCATATATGACCAGTATATGTTAGTTCATTACAACTTCTCGATTAGGGTCCCAAAGATCATACAACTCAATTGTTTGAGACGTTGTACAATATATGCTCCAGAATACAATCCAGTGGCCCTTCATAATAGTGAAATTAGCCTTTTTAAATCCAAGAATGCTTTTTGTCCACTGAGCTTTATCTTTTGTTGAATGCTATTTCTGCTTAGTTCTTTTTTGATTGTGGTCCCATTCTATTGATTTCTTTACCATATTATCATTTCTCATTACTGTGGTATATTTTCTTTGATGCTGTATTGTACTAAAATTTGTCTACTAATTAAATAACCTTCAAAATAATTAACCATGCCACAAACAACTTTTTCGTCTGTCTGAAATAATGAAAATATAAGTGTTCAGACAGAATTACAGTTGATCTGTTTATTACAGTCTTAAACAATAACTTACGAAAAATACCTTTCTTTGAATGCCAAAACCATCCCACACGGAAACCATAGAACTCAAATAAAATCCTGTCACAATTAATCCAGACTGAAATACAAATACCAAGCTAGTACAATCGGATCATTTTTTTTCATTTCAACTTGTGGCAGTGGTGGGATTTTAAATGTGTCACATAATATTTCTATTAACAAAGGTTAGGCTTTAGATAACTCATTAACATCTTTTCTATCTCGAAGTTGATTTATGTGTCTAATAATTAATGTATTTTCAAACATCACTTCATACTATACCTTCCCACGTCTTTTTTTATACACCCAAATATCCATTTTAACTTCCCAGGCCGGAAATCATCGACCATCAGCATAAGTTCTGTAAATGAAATAAGACGTGGACGTCACAAGAGATACCACAAAAGGTGCGTAACCGTCTTCTTCAGTGGTAAACCGGTTAAGCTGCAAGTTGATACGGGGTCTGACATAGAGAGACTTGGATAAAACTTGGTTGACCTCAATATCAACCTACATATTATAATGCAAAGAGTACCACAGGAATTAATATTACTCTTCTTGGAGAAATGTAGCTACCTCCCACATTTGGTGACAAGACTATTATCGGGAAATGTTATATATCTGGGATCTTTTATACAATCTTCTTAGGTATTGATTGGATAGATAAATTTGATTTGTGGGATCTACCGTTAAATCCCAGCCATGGCCAGAGACGAGCAAACCTTGGGTCCGAGTACACATCGATTATGCTTGACCAATAAACAGACAATATTTTTAGTAGTGGTAGATTCATACTGTAAATGGCCTGAAATTTATGCTATAGGAAGACCGTCTACATCTTAAACACCGTTACATATAAGAAAACTATTTGGTAGGTTTGGAACATCCAATGTTTTGGTTTCAGATAAAGGAACGCAATTCACGTCGTCAGAGTTTGCGGAGTTCTACAAACAAAATGGATCTATGCCTATATCTTCAGTTCATGTTTTACTCCCGATTTGTATCAGTTTTGTTACAGCTGCTAGAAATCTATTCTGAAGCTGATCACCAGTGTGTATACAAATAATATTGAGTTAGGTAGTTTTGTGATGTTTTCGATTGAAAGACCTAGTTTTCATATGAACAAAGGTACAGAAGATACTTTTGAGTATATAAGATGGTCCATTCAATTAGTCATGTAACATGATTTTTAGTCGATGCGTAGGTGTGATTGATATATTAACGTCAGTCATGACGTTGTTTGTCAAATCAGGAGTCTGCACTAACTACAATATGAAATTTACCATGTTTATGCATGACAAACAACTAGTTTCGTTTTACACAGGACTTGAAGACTTACGAAATGACTCATATGTGTACTGATAGTCTACTTCCATTAAGTAAAGCGACATGACTTGAGATTTTTAAAGATAGGAATGAGTCATGTAGCTTACATCAGTAGTTAATATGGTAAATGAAGGCAAACGTCCTCTATCTATAGTTTCCTATGTGATCTAATGTACAAACTTTTTTCAGAAAACTGTTTAAACTGAACTGAAATTTATCGGTCAACAAACTAAGGCTTGCAACGCATTACTAAAAATATAATATTCATTCTTCGAACAGATTAACTATAAAGGTGATCATTAATTTTATTTATTCTAACTACATATCAGTCTATTGATTCGTAAAAAGAATACTTCTGTAAGTAAACGGGATTAATAATACATGGCAGACTCAATCAACAATGAAGAACGTTAAACATTGGTGATGCTAGAAAATATGAATCAGTGAACGTCAACATAGTAATCAAGTGGTAACAAAAATGCTAGGTAACTTGGACAATTTAATTTCTACCTTATACACAGTCCAGGATTTACATCAACAATAAATAGACCACTATATCACCTTGGTTATTCATCATGTACTAAAAACAGAAAAACTAGTTATTTTCATGTTAGTTCTTAGGCTTCAAGAATCAAAGTTCGGACCCTGTCGCTCAAAGTTCTTAAGGATGTCATTGTTCCAAAACTTTCAAGTATGTTCCCCTTTGATTCTGTCTAATACTCACTCACTTCAAGAATTATCTCGAATTTCCCAGAGCAATGTTCTATAATTTGTGAGCTGTTTCCCAAACTTTAATTAGATAACATTTAAGACCTCCAAATTAGAAAAATTAAATAGTTATTACATTGCATAATAACATAAGAAGAGCTAACAAAATATTCTGACGAAAGATCAGTATTATAGTACTTATCTAGGAATCAAGAGACGGATGTTCAGAATATGTAGAAATACAAAGTGACAGAAATTAGAAAATCATCAGTATAGGGTTGTAAATGTTGTTGAGTCTCATTGAAATCGTGAACCGATCAATGTTAGACCACCATTGACCAAATGGTCGTCCAGGTTTTCAATGGTGGCCTAAAATTGATCGTTTCATGATCTCAATGAAATTGGAAAATTGTTTAAATATTTTTGAAAGCAAGGATTTAATCCAAGTTCAACTAAAAATTCATTTTATTTTGGTAAATAAGTTTAAACTTGTATCAAAAGACTATGATAATCTAATATTTAGCTTCATTAATGGTTAGTTTTTAAACATTTATCACTCTGAAAAATAGTAGTCTCCAGAAAATAATATAATCATGGAAAATTTCAGATATTCATATCTCGACCCAAAAAGAATGATTCCCTTCAGCCTCCTTGACAGCGTTTAGATTTTAAACAGAGAAAAACTTTTAACAGACAGTATTCGAAATGATAGCATTTGTAATATCTATTGTTAAACATCTTGATGGGGTTTTGTTCTCTGAGCTGGATGCTTTGGCCGATCATTCAATTGAGCTCCAAATCTTCTCCACCATTATTAAACAACGTTGACCAAACTATTAACCGTGGTTCATCACGTCATTTGTAAATAATGTACATCCAGGTGATGAGTCCCAAACAGGACAAAACTCGCGTCCTGGATTTCACTGCTAGACTCTATCTATCTTTGCTAACAAATAATGAATGCTTTTGTCACATGTATACTTGGTTTTTAACATTGTTACGTTAAACATTATTTTAATTTTCTGTCCTATTGACCTTACTTCGGAAAGTCTATATGAATTGTGTCATACTGGAACTACAAAACAACAATACAGATTAGTTGTTTTTTTCTTTGCATCTATTTTTCAATAGAACTTAGCTTAAAGTTAATATTACATGTTTTGTTTAACCTACTTTTGATTTAATCTATATTTTTGAGCTATTCACACGTGTAATATCATCCAAAATATAGTAAATGAATAGACGTTTACATCTAATTAAAGTTGACTTTTATTGCTAGATGAGTTTACCTGGAAACTTAAGAGCCATTGTTAATTCATATTTTTAATCTAAAACAATGCATATTCACAAGTTTAAGTCCCATGATGACCGCGGTACATTTAGAGTACTATTTTTGACTAAAGTCAATGATTTCCAATTCCAAATACAGGCAATTTGTAATATACTATAGTCATCATTCAATGCTACCAGTAATAACAATCACACTTTCATAATAGTTGACTCAACAAAATACGACTTATTACTAGAATATAAGGCAATTTATTTTGATGCTATTCACACACACAATAACTGCTCACATTATCTCATATAGTAATTAAAGTTAATAATGTAGACGATCTGGTTTACTCTAAATGGTATAAATTTATATTAGTCCTCAGAAAACCTTAAATTCATTCCCATGTTCATTTCTTAGTAGTTGGAAGTAAGTTTGGAATACTGTTTGTGTAAAAGCTAGCAATGGGAATATCATTTTTAGATAATTATGTCTACATAATAAAATTATTAATACCCTGATTTTTAAATTTTTTCTTACAGAAAAAATATAACGCTATACGTTCGTTCATGTATTTAAATAATTATCAACATAAATCTCCGAAATATATATATTGAATTTCAAACTTTGTATAATATAAATTTATTCTTACATTTCAAAATATATTCTCCAATTTTAAGTAAAGTTGAATTGAAGCGAGCTGTGAAATTAAGAACAAGCGTTTCGTTTAATTCAAGATTCGCCAGCTGGATGTACCAGTTTTTTGTGTACACTGAGAACGGAACCCGGTACCTAAAGCTTGAAATCTTAATTTTTATACACTATGTTACTGAGTACATCTAGCTAAGAAGTCACAAATAAGATGAAGCGTGCGGCTTAAATTTCACAACTGGCCACAATCCGACTTTACCATACCAATAAAAACTAATTTATTGCACTCCTTAGTATCAGCAACAAGACCTAAAACTTTCCAAATATAGTATGTACTCTTTTTTACTACCATAAACATTACAATTATTTCGATCACTTTGCTCAGCACTTATTTCACTTCACTTGATAGTGATGTGAAGTATAACAAATTGAATTGTAACTTATTTATATGTCATATCTAGTGTAACAATTGAATTTTATTTACTTAATTTTGACTGTATTATAATGATGAAACATCGAAATTTATTGACAAATGAGAACTATAGGAATTAGGCTACTTCAGTTCGTAGAATGGATCAATATTTTTAGTAATGAATTCATAAAACAAAACTGTGTACGTCAGGGTATTAGGCATATACTGAAGTGTTATCGCAACTCTATTGGTCAGTTTCGTTTATTTTAAAACGACTAATAATGAGTCCCTATATATTTTTACGGCACACAAAATTAGTTGCTTATCCAGTGTAACACAACTGAAATTTCACTACTAAAGGCCTTATTCTCATTCAGCATACAATTATTGAGGTGTAATTCCATTAATTATACGTTATCATTGAAAAGCACTGTAGCATCTAACACAGTTGTTACCTTAATCTCTTCCTTCAGAAAAAATTTCGTGATAATTCCAGCTACTAAAAATTGAAAATGCTAATTTAGATGACCTTTCTAAGGACACTATATGAATGCATTATATCAAATTGTTTATTCATCTCATACATACATACCACACATTATATAGAATTTAATGTTATTATTTCTATGTACATGTATATTACGATAAAAAAAACAAATTACTAACATACTGATGATCTGTCCCTCAAGTATAACTAGAATAGATTTGTTATTAAAAAATTCTTAATTGACAGACAAACATTTTCCAAAATACATGATGGTAGATTTGACAGAAATATACTCAAGTATCTGAAAACTATTTTATGTAAAAGTGTATTTTACTAGTTTTAAAAGTTTGTATTTTTCAATTGTTGAGACAGCCTTCAAGTAATAGCACGATATACTGCTTAAGGAGCACATATATTAGCAAAGGCTGGTTAAGTTCAACACTAAGTATAACATCAAAAGGAAAATGGAATACAACAATACACATCGAATAATTTTATAGTCATTAGGATTCACTAGACTCGTGGAAAAATTTCCAACAGTGTTGCTGAACAGGATGAAAGATTCAATAGATATCCAGCTTCGAGATCAACAGACAGGATTCCGTAAGGACCAAGTTGCGACACTACGGATCATCGTTGAACAGATGCATTCCAAGTGAGAACCGGTGTCAGACAAGGCTATCAAATCTCCCCCTTCCTCGTTCTTCAGGCGATTGACTGGATCATGAAGACTTAGACATCTGAGAGGAAGCACGGAGTACAATGGAAAGCTTGGATACAACTGGACTGCAGCAGTCTTTACATCAGTAGACCTTAATATACACAAGAGAAAAAGGAAAATCCTTAAATATAACACGGAGGACACGAACCCAATCTCGCTTGAAGGAGAATCTCTGGAAGAGGTGGTAACTTTCACGTATCTGTGCAGTATCATCAACGAACAAGGAGGATCCGATGCAGACATAAAGGCAAGGATTTGTAAAGCAAGAGCAGCAGTCCTACAGTTGAACAACATATGGAACTCAAAAAAACTGTCAACAAACACCAAAGTGAGAATCTTCAATACGAACGTCAAGACAGCTCTATTGTAAGGAGCTGCGACTTGGAGAACGACTGGTCAAAGAATGTTTGTGGATAAAGATGAATGGCAGTTAATAACACAGGTGATAAACTTGTCTTTTTTTAACATTTTGAATGGTAGCAGTTAAAACGGATAACAAAACCGAGATCTATTGTAATATTGTATAGTTATGCTGAGAATCATTTACTGCAATCAAACATATGGTATCAAATAACGGGATGCTTATTAATTAAGTTATGTCATGATAAGCAAGCAACAATTGAAGAAAACTATTCTGGGTTCTGTTGTTAGCCAGTAATTATAATTTTTAACTAAGAATTTCATTACAATACACCTAGGTGAAACATTGATGAATAATAATGAAAGCCTCGCAATTATAATTTATTCCGTTCAACAAAGAACACAATACACCCGAATGCATCCATCTAGAGTTGGAAAATCTGCATTGTCACCACTAAATGATATAATATAGCAAAATCCAAATGGTTCACAGTATACTTATTTTATTTCACCATAAAGCAATAAATATTTGAAAGATAAATAGATAAAAATTATCTATAAAAGAAATAAATAAATCGAACGAACATTTTAAAACAAATTGTCAATCAACATTGTAATAATTGATTTGTCTAAGCAAGTACACATCATTAACATGTTACAAAATCTATTGAATTGGAAAGAGTAAAACAGTTAATAGTCATTATAGCAATAATGAGAAATCATTACGCTCTTCTAAACAAATACACACGTCATATATTACTCAGTTTGTATCTGTACATAATTATATTTAGATTCAACATGCATATTTCTCTATCTCTCTCGCTATATATGTATATTTGGGACAACGAAATACAAGCCACTTATAATAATACCAATTAGAAATATACATAATGAATTTGTGTCATTATTGCTTTGCTCAATTTTAAATGGTCGAAAAACAGAAAATTAGCCAACTATGAAGAGAAAAAATAGGATAATTATAAACAACTACGAGTAATTTTGATTGTTGATTTTATTTAAATTCAACTCCTTTGTACAAGTAATTAAACTAAATAGTCACGTGAGTATAAGCACACTCGCAAAAACATACATACACACAAATAAGAGAACAGATCACAGTTGTGTTTTTGTTTAAAATGACAAATACACAAATAATTCACTATTAGTTTTTAAAAAAATAACAATAATGTTGATGATTTTACTGTTTACCAGAAAGTATTATGAGGGTGAAAAACATAAACACATGAAGTCAGCCATTTGTGTATAGATGCATCATAACTTCATAGTTGAAAAAGATTTCAAGAAAAAAAATTATTGTTGTACTTTTTCCACTTCAATGTAATAAACACTTCATTTTTAAACAAAAAATGATCAGTGTTGAGATTATTTCCAATTTTACAAAGTATAGGGAAATACATAAGAGTGGCAAGCACACAAAACGAGATTGATTTCGTACTCATTCTAAACAAAACATGGTAAATGAAAAGGAAAACACACAGAATGAGGACATAACAGAGACGGAACAACACCGAAAAAAGCGAGGACCTTTGTAGAAAGAAAAGGGAATGATTGATGAATTAAACAAAAAACAATGATCCGAATTCACGTTCCCAAACAGCTTGACTTGATTTATTTAATTTCTTCGATAATTTTATACCACCACTACCGTCACCAGTACGATTACCACCGCCAATAGGTAAACTAATATTGGCATTCAATTGATCAGAAGTGAATTTATTATTGACTGTATCATTGACAGATGAAGGATTGAAATTTTCACGCCCTTGTAGTTTTTTCGGACCATTAGCAATAGGTGGAGACATATCATGTAGATAGAAATCACAAGATGATATATCATCAAATACTTCAGCCATATGTGCACGTACTGAATGTGCCTAATACAATCAACAACAACAGATAAGAAATATATACTAACACAAAAATGTATTTATGATGAACGAAAATGGTTATTTTCTTGATAGACTGACGTCAATCACTGAACGTGTTCTCTTTGCTTTAGTTTTTGGATTTCACAATAACACATTTTACTCACGGGATACATCAATCCCGTGACCTATAGTTCATTCACTCGATATACAATATTTTTAAACTTCTTACATTATAGCTACTGATTAGCAACTTCAGGCTGTTTACAATAAAACGCAACTATCACGTTATATAGTCGATAAGTTCTGCCCTCGACATATTTGTAATTCACATATGTCACCTAATTATCCCTGATTTTCGTTGGTTCTCTCTTCGGCAATAATTCTAACAAGCTAATAAATTAAAGATCTTTGATAGAAACATTTTTTGAAATTCAAGATAAATTGCAAATTGGCTGTTTGGTTTTGATTCTGAATCTAACATAAGACACTGTGCACAAACTAAACAGTGGTAGTTTACTCACAGTAAGAATCAAAACTAATGAGGCTTTGATTTTGATAAAAAAACATTTTTACAGAAATTTTTCCAACGATATTGACAATGAACCAATGGTAGTCGTGTAACGCATTCAATAATTAACATATTCAATTTCTATTCTCAATTGTTCGATCATTTCGAATTCATTTTTTGTGTTTAGCTGGGTGCTATTGATTGTTTGAATGTCAATCCATCTATTCCGTGTGTGCTTACCGAGGTACTGCGCTCACATTTTCTTTAGTTCACCGAAATCATACACGCTTTAGACTGAACACTTGAGACAATAACATCAACAGCGTAACTGCAGTCTAAACACAAATTTGCTGAGCACTAAATACTGAGTTTGTGAAGCCTGAAAGCTATTCATTAAAAAATATATGCGTAAATATTTTCAATGTATATACGAGGTGTTACCCCTTTAATATCTTTAGATTTATGCAGATATGTATAAAAACAAAATACAAAATTCACTTTTTCACGTTGTTGAGCACAGATTTCATTGAATTCAGATGAATTAAAACATCCACCTAATAAACGATCTTCTTCGACAAATTTCAGTGGTTTTTGAATTTCGTCTCCGTCACCTATGTATATAAATGAAGAAGTAGAATTTGTGAAAAAAAACATGAAGTAAAAAGTGTGCAAAGACTACACAAATGATCAAATAGCAGTAGACATTTCAACATTTATTTTCTAATTACAGTATAATACCGATTAAGGAATTTCTTTATTTCATTTTATATTTTAAATATACCGGCTAAATTAAAAACAATATTAATGTTGAGACCGCAACATTTGGCGATACTACTTGTTTTAGTAACCAGTGAAATTTACACGATGCAAATAGGAACGCGAAATACATAAATTGTTGTGACGGCAGCTAAATGATTCTGACTTCTTGATTCCGTGAATCGCATGACACAAATAATAACGCGAAGATTATAGATAAGGATTTATTTGAGACCAAAAATAAATCAAAACCAATTTCGTATGATTTACATTGATTAACAGTGAATTTTGTATATATTAAACTAAGTATTACCAGACATTAATTTGTCAATAATGAATATTTACAATACAAAATTAACCACCTATAACCAACAAATATATCTAATATAATCACACCATCTTGTAATGTGATTTCACATTATACATGATAAGAAGAGAACCCAATTGAGTATGTCATTTGAGCCGTCATCAATCAACATTCTTGCTCATCATATAAATGAATAATATCTGTGCTAGTGTAAACGGTAGTGTTAGGTTGGATTAATATTGAAATGAGAGAACAATGGTAAAGCAACAAATATGTTTGGATATTTTTTTCTCATGGAATGCTGCAGAAGCAAAAAAACATTTTGCCACAAAGATCACATTCACGTAAATATTGAAGAATTTGCACGTAATCAACTGATATAATTTAAAGTAATAAAACAACAGTGATAAGTACTTGTTGATGTAGAAAGAAATATATTTATCTTTTTAGAAAAGTTACAGAGATCAACACATTCAGTATGCAAACACAATTAGAGTTTATGCAGAACTATAAAGAGTCATTAGTGTATACAGACAGAAACAAACAATGCTACAACTACTACTGTTACATTTTATTCTTAATTCACTGTTCAAATTCTTTTATACTATGTAATTTAACTGTATCAACATAACAGAGAAAATATTTTCCGAACTTTTCGTAAATACACAATTGATGCAAGTAGCCAGCGAATAATATGAGATTCAAAAACAAAAAAGGGAAAATCTAAGACCCGTATGATTGACAAAATATTTGATTGAGTGACAATTGGTCATTTTATAAAATGGGCCGAATGAATGATTTAGAATCCTAGTGAAATAATCTTTGAAAAAGTGAACTCTCGTTTCAATTGATGTTAATGTTTTAAGGAACTAAAGCTATGAAGAAGACTGAATAACAATTAGTTACTAATAATACAGTGAATGATTAATAAAGAATACAAATAAAAACCTATAAAACAACCGGTAGAGATTTACATCGCATTATCAATAATAAAGAACGGTAAAGTGATCAAGATTTGGATAAATGCAATTTAATAGTAAAGAGAAACTTGTAACTTGGGTAGACGGATTCAGAAAAGCTGCATCCCATAAGCTCGATGGTTTAATTTATGGAGATTTCTAGTTCACTCTTGGAAATATTACCATTAACCGTATGGCTTCCTTAAGATTATAAGTTTTGAAATTATATCATACTCTTTATTTTATGAATGCATTAATCTTTTCATACAAATAGTTCCCTTTATTGTCTTAAAAGAGAGCAAAAACAATGATTGATGAAGGATAATAAGAATTCATTTTATTTCGTTAGGTTTTCATTAGTTACTTGGAACCTATAATGTTTTAAAATTAAAGTTATTACATAACCACAATAATGTGTATAATGGAAAAATGGAATGATAAACATTGAAAACAAAACAGTTAAACAGTAATATTATTACACATGATTACATTGAGACAATAGAGAATAAAACTAATATATAAGGATTCAAAGGCCGACGACTCAACGTGTAACAAGCAAACGATAATATGATCATTATTTTGTTTCTAAATAACAGTACTTTTTGAAAATGTTTCCGTAGTTTCTACCGATTTACAAAACAAACAAAAGAGAAATAACCTCGTTTATCATTAATTTAATAGATATTAACTGAGAATTCAAAAACTAACTTTTACCATACTTAACTAAACGGAAGATATTTTAATAAGATCTTATTTTAATTAATTACATTAAGCAACAATTACTCACCTTTAAAAAACACATCTAGATAAGTCGGAAAAATTTAAATAATTAAGTACAAAGAACAAATGAATGTGAGTTAATGGGCGAGAGAGTTTAAACTAAATAATAGACAATAGATTACCAAGCCAAAACACCGCATAACAAAATAATAGAGACTGATTAAGAATGAAACTAGTTGACCGATTCTTGCATCCCAAACACTAAATGAATGCACAAGTTTTGAAAGCAGGTTCATAAACTTGCCAAAATTCTCCCTTGTGATTATTTTCAGACTAAAGTAGTATAGAAGTTTAACGGAAAATACTTAATCTAATCAATCGTTGGTATAATATTCCCTTGCCAGACCCAAAACCAACTATTTAATGGATCCTATTACACGATGATAATAATCTGTATAATTATAGTTGCTTTCGTTAGTTTGTTTTCCTAACGTACTGGTGATAACTGAAATTGTATCATTAGATTATCAATTAAAAATAGCGATGAAATATTAACAGTTTTAAATTTCGTCATAATGTTAACAGATTATCTATTTCTACATGATATACAACAATGTAACAGTTCTTATCTGATCTTTCATACAAGTTAACAGTCAGTAATAATGAGTATTATTATACTGAAGAGGACTGAATTTTGATCATGTACAGGTACAGGAGACCCTGGAGGTGGGTAGGACAACATTATGAAAATTATTAAACTGCATGACGAAGCAAACCCTCACTTGAAATCCTGAAGGCAGAAGGAAAAGGGGCAGATCAAAGAACACATCGCTCCGAAAATTGAAAGCAGACATTAAAAAATAGATATCACTTAGAAACAGCTAGAAAGGAGAGCCCAGGACAGATTTCCTTGGAGAATCCTGGTCAGAGGCATATGCTCCACGAGGAGTAACAGGCGTGAGTAGATAAGGCACATCTGTATGGAGAATTCTAAATAGGACGAAATATGTCCTGGATTCAACTGCTAATAACTTAGGATCTACAACAAGGTTATATGAACCTATCTACCGAAGATGAGCATATGCTAACAAAGAACGGTCGAAATATTTAGCTTTGAATATTAGCAACACGATGTAATACAAGCCCTTATAAATACTTCTATATAGTATGTTTAAACTGAAAATATAGAGATTAAGTCCCAACAATCTCGAAGTTCAAACCGATATACCGATTTGAATGTGTCGGTTTTCGATATATGGTTTGATTGGAACTGCTTTTAACTAAACAGTCTAAGAAAGGTAGTTCGTTACGTTCATCTTTTTTGTTGAAAGTGAATTCGATGTGCTATGTGAGTATGTTTATGTGTTTGGAGAAATTTATAAGTCTTTTTAATAGTGGTAAATGTGTCATCTACGTATCATTTGAGCCAGATACGTGGTCTGATTGTGTCAGCACATCGACATTCGTTAATATTATAAAAACCATCGACTTATAAATATTGTGAGAGTTAAAACTGCACATCTCACGAAAAAATTATTGAATATTGTAAGTTTGAAGTTCCGTACCCCTTCGACAATGAATTTAATCCTAAAGTAAGATCAATTTTCTTATAAATCTCCTATTTTCAATGCGTCCATAGAAAGTATTGAGAAAATTTATTTCACTTTCATTTCTAACATTTCATACGCAAAAGATTTTACAAAGTACATCATACTAGTATGATGTTTATTCTTTTTCTAAAGTATCAAAGATTATCAAAACTGAACTGTAACACTGGTCATTTGTAAAAACGAACTAACACATTTTATTTACAAATTTAAATCTTCAGATAGTTTAAAACGAAGTACTATTAAGAAAGATAGTAGTATATTCGGTAGTTTAAGATATGTTTCAATTATCTTTAAACAATCTTATCAAGCCATGATCACTACTATAGATTTTAACATATCAACATTTTTTTATTGAATTTCGTTAAAGTTAGAAAACTTTATACCCTGTCTAATTTCATCTTTTCCTCACAATTGGTCTTTGATATTAATTGTCCCTTCTAACGAATAGTTACGCTATTTGTATTCCAGGTTAATATACAAAATATGTAATCGATAATACTAAATATACAATTTAAACATTAAAAGGTCTTCTACAAGAATCTTCATATTTCTTAATTTGCGTCTATTGTTGAAGGGTCAACGTATTACTGTCAATATGTCATCTAATAATAACAGCATTATATATGAACTTAATATTACCATTTATAACCTGTTATAAGTAACTTCTTCTGTACACATGTAATATGAAAATTTAGAAAACTGTTCAGACATTTTACAGGTTTGAACTTTGTTTTAAGGTTTGCTTGTAATTTTACGGTGTTGCGATCCAGTCTCTGTTAACATATGTACATTGTAAGACGTTTAAAGCTAAAATAAATTAGGCTGGAATTCTAGTACGAATATCAATATTGTGATGTGTGTACAGTTGCATAAATAGTACGGAATGAGACGAAATGAGTGTCCTGGATTGAATGGAAAATCGAAATTGAAGAGACTACAATTTATGGACGAACCAGTGGAACTAAAGATATCAAATCTTGGATCTCGGTATGAAGTTCATTAATACATGTGGCTAAATAGCAATTCGACATTATAGCTAATGTTAACTCGTGATGAAAACCAAAACTTTGCTTCTTCATACAAACTTTTAACTTCGATTCTAGCAAGTAGGTAAGTTTTCTTAAGGTCACTCTGGGAGTCACTAAAGAGTCGTCCGTAAATTATAGTTTCACCCTGAAATCCAAATCTACCAAAAATTCATATTGTTAAGTGTAATTGTAAAGCTGGTTAATGCGTCCTTCATTTCCTCAGTTGCACTCAACATATATTACAAATTCTACCTGTTTATAAACATTTACATTCCAATAATTATAAATACATAATTAATTTAACCACCTTGTATACAATACACAGACAGGCACCTAATATATATATATATATATATATATATATATATATATATATATATATATATATATATATATATATATATATATATATATATATATATATATATATATATATATATATATATATATATATATATATATAAACACAATGTAACTAGTTAACTTACAATAAATGTACACATCACAAATGTAAATGTATGGATATAATTATGTTTAGAGAGATCATTCTATTTCTTTCTTATGTGTACAACTGGATATGATCTAATTACTAATTGGGTGAAAAAATACTTTACTCATTCAATCAGTCATTAATTCATTAGTATACAAATATGTATTCATGGTAAAATCTAATTATGTAAAAATGCATACACATACATATGAATGTATCTCTTCCTATGAGTAAAACGGTATAATAAAATTTGTTCGCCTAGTAATTACCATCAGTAGTCAGATTGTGTAAGTTTAAATATCAAATTAACATACGAAAAAGAAACATAGTTCTACAAAATATATTTCAACATCAAGTGTTTGCCAGTTTCTTCCTCATGCAGTTTCATAATCATTTCTTTTTTGTTTATAAACCAAATCTTATGTTTATATAGAAAACTTTAAAGTTAATTTTCATTAAAAACTGGCGTCAACTGGAGAGAGTACCAATGAACAATGTGTGCAGTTAAGAAATACCAAAAGTTAGACAATAATTTAAATACCAAAAAGAAATTATGCTACAAAACAATCTAATACATTTAATAATAATAATAATCATAATAATAATAATAATAGTAATAATAATAGTAATAATATGTATATATATATATATATATATATATATATATATATATATTATGGAGTGGGGAGAATATCTTGACCGCACAGAGTAGCATAAATTGAGAACTGTATAAAAAATTACCTAACTAGTTATCATTTTATGATTGAATTTATAAAATGTAATAAGTGTACAGAAAATAAATCGAAATTAGATGTGTTTGAGCAATAACAACGAGATAGTAAGAACAAAATAATCTATACATATTTTAATAATAATTCATGGTGCTTTGAATCCATCCTTCATACTATTTAGAAGGTACAAATGAGCCAAAGTAAACCAAGTTAGGAATGGAGCAGTATATGACCGAAGAGAAGATTAATGAGGATTGGAGCACATAATAAAAGTTGACTGAAATTGGAAAAAACTACGATATTGCATTCCAACTCAGTGATCTAAAATATTATACTTATAACAAGACCTGATGATAGTCATATGTAGTTCGACTATATATATACTCAAAACTGGAATGCAGAGTGCTCCCTAGTTATGACTAATCAACAAACTGATGTTAGTTTTTTTGCGAAAAAGACATTTAAAAATCATACAAATCTCTCTCATTTACCAGATATAGATTCATGTAATGGCTACAAATGTGATGGCTATTTAAACTACACATAGCCCAGACTGAAGTAGGTGGAACGGGGGTTCGAATTTGAGACTTAACGGCTGGAAGGCAAGTACCTTATCGACTTAGCCGCCGCTTTGAAAATAAAGCATTACAAAAATGATCCAGGTTATTCACTGTATTCTACGTTCAATATCTAATTGTCAACAAGTCAAGTGTTATACTCATTTAGTGACAGAGTGATTTCTAGAATCAATAAGCCAGAATTCTTCTTGTAACAGCATAAACTACGATGAAATCTCATGTTATGAAAGTAGTAGAACGAAAATTCTAATTACTAAAATAAAAAACTTACTAATTATTTTGCGCATATTCTTGAATGATAAGTATTCATCGACCATCTTATATTTGGGAAGAGGGAAGGAAGTGAAGAAATGGAAATCAGCAATGAAAATGTTGGTTAACAAAATACAGATATTGAATGACATTAATTAATGATATAATTGAATAGTATGTTTTCTCCAACTATTTGTGTACATTAAACGAGCGAACAGTCAACAAATGTCTAGTAAGTTAAACCTATCACTTATTCAGATAGGCTTCAAATCATTTACGTAGTTATATATAGATGAAATATGGTAAATTCAACATCTACAGCTTACAGGTTAGTCACGATTAAAATAGGTCAATGACACAAACGTAACAATAGTTGATGTAGGTTTGATTCCTTTGAAGAGCATCAGTTCCCATTTAGATTATAGATACTATCTATTCATGAATGTTAACTAGCACAAAGTTAGCGTTCAAAGCTTCCCACCGATTATCTCGGCCTATCTCATATAATAGAGGAACTTCAAAGGAACATAAATCATCGTAATATGAGTAATTTTTCCGAACAAACAATACATATAGTTCAATGCTAGAAAAAGTCAAAAATACAGTACCACGGGAAGAACAACAGAATTATATTTATGTGATCACAGTGATAGATCTGCTTGTTGAACATCTGTTACTGACTAGCAAGACGCTCTCCATAACCCCCGACAATATCTACGCTCCAACGCAAACAATAGAGAAAAGGTACTAAATATCAGTAGGAGCTTTACTATAAGAATAATTCTGTATAAAAAATGCAGTGAATTTATATACTTTCATGTGGCCTTAGTCATTCATAACTTTTCGAAAACATACTGGATATAGTAAAAATCTAGGTAATTATCCGATCAAAATGATCCATAATTCTTCATTTTTCTAGATGTTTAGAAGTCTCTAGTCAATAGTTGTTGGACAAAACGATTTCAGTCTTTTCCCCGGACACTCAAAACTATTTCGAGGGATATTTGTGGACATACAAAGATTTATATTCACACTTAACAGAATCCAAATCCAACATTCTAACAGGGTTGGACAATGTTTTAGTATACAGTTGTTCTGTGAACCCTATTTATGTTTGACAATCCTGTTCTTTAATTATATGCTTGAAGAAGAAGGCCAAACTGTCACTATTCTTAATTTCAACTGCTGAAAATTTCACAAATATAATTTCCTTTTATGTATTAAATAAGTATTTCTTTTCTTCAAAACTTGTTTTAAAGTGCAGTACATTCTTTTCGAAAAATCATTCCACTTTGCTTACTTGTTTATATGAACTCAAAAGATTTGGAGACGGATACTTTTCAAGACAAAACAAATTGGATAATCAGACAAAGTGACAGGTCAATCAGCAATAATCAATGTGGAGCTCAGTAAAATTGTTAGTTGACCAAAGTTACAATAGGTTTGGACTTATCAGTAGTACACATCGATAATCTTATATGAAGGATCGTATCCACGAGGGTTGAGGTAGGTTTCACAATGAAAAATTTAGTATGTTATTGGAGAGAGGGAATGTGAACAATTTAAAATTAATAGGGATTAATTTGATTTATTCAGTGTCAACTGCTTATTACTTTTTCACAGTCAACTTCGTTGACTTTTCACGCCACAATTTATGAGATAAAACACTAGACATTTTTTATTTGGAAAAGTTATTACTTGTGAATAGAACAGATTACTTTTTGTTGAGATTTGAAGGTGTTCAGCGTTAGACTGTATGGAATTATCATTGTGTATTAACGAAGTCTAATTACGTACTGGAAATAAAGTAAAAACATGTCTGTCTGTTGGCGAACGTTCTCCTATCGTGATAAAATTTATCTTCAGTTTATGTTAAACCTTTATACAAACACAACATCAACCATGATAATACTTACATTAGTTGAATCTGCCACTGAATAAAGGCTATCCGTTAGCGAAAAACTACTTCCAGATTGAGCAAAGCATGTACCGCTTTCTACAACTGCAATTAACAGATAAAAACAACATTATTATCACTATTATAATGAATTTTATCGTGAATACTAAAACTTTACTAGGGCTTTAATTTCTACGTAAATGAATGATTGAATTGATTTGCGATCTATGATCAACCGAGAACAATTGCATAACATGAAAACGAACAATGGTTATACATGTACATAATTTAATGAATTCTCATTTGGTGAAATACAGTATGAACGTGTGAATTTTATTAACCACGACACATTCATTAGCCAAAAAGTATGAAATCCTACATGCTCAACACTCTATTACATACAGAATACGACCAGTGGCAATTTCATTTTACAAACCTTACTTGACTAGTTTTGCAAACAACAAAATTTGTCAGATATCAAAGTTAACTGATTCCTGAATGATAATCAATGTTACGAATAGACATTACCGACAAAGCTTTTTGTCGCATAGTAATCATTAATCTGAATGATGTGAACCCTGTACTGTATTTTATGACAATAAGCATTTTGATTACATTACGTGTTTGTAAGTACCTGTCAGTAAAGGATTCGAAGGTAATGAAGAAATAGATATGCACTATGAAATTTAAAATGATAACATTCAAAGGCACAGTTAAGGGAGCCCCCAAATGCCCTGGTACGGCCGAGAGTGGGGAGAGTCCGCTCTCCTTCTCGAAATGCTCTCACATGGCCATGCGTATATAGCCTCTGCCAGGGAAGTCCTACTCACTGCCTTCTCTTGGCATGGGTGTTGTTTACAAAAATGAGAGGACGAAGAGCAAATGTCCGGCGCTTTAATCGGATCCCAAACCAATGGTGCACATGGGCTCCAGTATCCTGAAGGAAAAAATGGCGTATGAACCAATCGTCGGTCACCGGCTACCATGGGACTGCATCTCCTTACGATGCTCCACTGCCTTGTGGGTCAGACATTCAGGTCGAAGGCTCGGGGTGTGGCCCCTAAGAAAACCACCTGCTTCGGTTTGGGCACCCGTGCAGTATCACAGCCCTCACACAAATCAATTGAGATTCGTGTGGCGCATATGTACTTGGTGCCTCCCTGTACCTATACTTATGTGTTAAAATGAAATGAAATGAATGAATGAAATGACAGTTTAGGGAGATGTAGATAACCTCCAACTTACTGAAACTATAAGCATTAACGTGTGCTAAACAAGATCAAATTATTATCAGTGAAACAGTTGGTAGCAACATCCACCTAATGATTAATCCGCACTATAAATATAAGCCAATAGTACTCATCTGACTGTTCACAGTAGACTTTAAACAAGTATCATTTAATAAACACCAATTGTATATTAATATGATGCGTCAGGAAAAAAAAACAGTGAAAATAGACGAAATTCCTAACTGAATTCATTCAACTTTACTATTTGATTATGGCTGAAGAAACAATTTCATTGGTTCGAGACTCCATACAATTATGCCATCTATAACAACAGAAAAATTTGAATTCAAGAATCCAAATGGTCATAATCACTAAATTTGGCCGCTATTTGATCGGTGTTAAAAATTACCATTATTAATAATGACAGCAATAATCAAAGGTAACTGTTGGGATACATTTATGGAATAATATTACACGTATATTCCTGTTGTATAGTTATCGGGAAACCAGATTAGGTATAATCATAGTCCTCTTATTATAAGCTTTATTTTGAACTATGGACTATTTGATATGATTTACTGTTCTTAAGTTTATTAATTACAGTCTCCCACAATCTCAGCCACTATTTGGCATGATCTTGTACAAATGTTATTTTCCATTTTATGCTGTGATGTGGTCTGTTTGGTTTGTATATAAATCTAGTATGTTTGAAATATATGATACATATAGTGGAAGCTGGTATTGGTTTGCTGGAGTCAACTGGCAGGGCTAGGCGAAGAAAAGAACCAATCGGGACTCTAGGCTATTCGTAAAGGTGTATGCGTCATTAGTTATTTTTATAGGTCAGAGTACCTAAATTGGCAATCGCATAAGCTAAAGACATAACAAATACCATACCTTTAATAACAGTAAAACATTTCTCAGAACAAGATGGGAAATATCAACGGCGTCTAGTTTCAATAAAAATTTTACCCAACTTTGTTAATTCTAACCTGTTCGATGATTTTTTAAAAATAGAGACCACGAGGAAAGTACGTCAATAATAGTGGCAGTTCAGTTTGAAATTAACAATGATTAGCTTGCGTTAATGTGCAGGCTTGTTATTAAGGCGTATGATCACATGTGGTTAGTATATATAAAAACGAATCTAACATAAGAAACTTTATTGCGATATTACAACATGTGAAGAGTATATGGCCGAGAAGCTTCACCTGGCTACCGTGCTACTTTTTGATGAAAGTTTCCTATTAGTGTTGATACATGACACAAACTTTAAGCAATAAAATTAGCCACCATAATATTATACTTGGAACCGAAAACTGTTCAGTCATTAGGGAACATCTAGTCTATCAGTGGACAAACATGACAACAGATGAGATCGAACGCAGTATAAACATTTTTATGTATCTTTAGATCACTGGGTTCGTAGTATTAATTTTAGTCAATTCTTAATGTAATATGATCGTCAACTAGAGAAAGGTTATATGACTAATACAAAGCTAGGAACCATCACAGTAGAAATTTTTATTTTAAAAAAAACAAACAAGTTCAGTGCTGAATAAAACAAGAGCAACCAAGTATCTAATCGTACAGTACACCACATTGAATACATAGAAACACTAGTATGTAACTATTTTTTAAATAACCGAATTGGTGATTATACAGACTTAGTGGAGAATGCAATCGATATGATAGACATACAAATACAAAGACAGAGAAACAGAAAACACAACGGCCAAGTCAATATGGAATGACAATCAATTATTTCATGTATGCATACATCTAGATCTATAGTCAGTCGTTTTAATTGCTTTGTGAACTATACTAAGAATTGTGATTAGCCAAATATGTAGAACCATAAAACACCATATGATTTTGTGCAGACGCACAAATACTAACATTATTTGTTCACAAATTCATGAGAAGGTATTGTTACTGCCAGAGATAAACACAATTATACAAACACACACAGAGAGAAAACACGACGAGATTGATATAAAACTACTCTTTTTCACATAATTTAACAAGGTTATATATTTTCAACCAGCATCGTATTTTCATATAAATACACATATTATCCAATTAAAAAAATGGGCGATGTTTGTAAACAATAGTACTGACAAAAACAATAAGAATCAATTGTTTAACTGATACATTTTATAAAACTTATGAAGTGTTTATGTGTGTTCAATACGTTACTTGAAGCTGTAATTGACCAAAAGTATATGCCTAAGTAACAAAAGCGCGATTAACATTAAATGCACGGCCATTTTTTTGGGTGAAATTTTTCTTCGTCCCATTCGAAAAACTTTTTCATCCCCATCTTCCAATAATTTTCATTCTGTTCCGTCCAATCAAATAGCTAGTTTTGGGTTCGTTATAATAGGCCGTTTATTTCTTAAACTTGATATAAAATGTCAGGACCTGACGACATAGCACATTTTCTTCCAATTACGAGCGGTAGCAAGGTGCGAAATACGAGTTCTGTCGTTCCTCACGTTGTCACAAAAACCGATAACCTATTCTTGAGCACATTGTATCTCGTAGCATCTCAATCACTTGAAGCGTTGAAGAACACCGTTAAAACTTATGGAAGAGCTACGTACTGCTATTACGCGGTGAGAGATTCTCATTTCCATAGAGATCGGAAGCCGTATATTAAATTCGTATATTGGAGGAGAAATGGCCGTAGAACACCTAGCGGTTCCTCACAGCCGAGTAGACGAAGGAGGTAATTTGATTAGTGTTATTATAATTATTCATAAAGGACTTCCGTGAACACTCACTGTCTTTCCTCCATCTTTTGTGAGTTACCAACTATCAGAATAATGTCGATATGGATGCATCGTTAAGCAATGGCGACCAATTATAACAAACTCAAAACTAGTTATTTGATTGGACGGAACAGAATGAAAATTATTGGAAGATGGGGATGAAAAAGTTTTTTGAATGGGACGAAAAAAACTTCACTCGAAAAAAATAAAAAAAAATGGCCGTGCATTTAATGTTAACCCAATTTAGCTTATTCACAGAGTGAAAATAAAATACAATAATTGTCAATATGGGCTTGTTGAGAATGTTGAATTTCATTAAAATCATGAACCAGATTTTTAATAGCTTTCTACCTTAGATCGGTGAGTGATTCCGATGAAAATATAATTAGGTCGAATATCAATATTGTTTAATAGTTAATTTCAGTCAGTAACAACGTAAAACTTCGTACGTACGTAGACCAGTTCGAGTTGCCACACCACATTAGCACAGAGATTCAGTTATTGATTCAAATCCCGTAGTGGTAGAGGTAGCAAGAGTATAAACAGTAATCGGAAACTTTAGGGTTTGAAGATGTTATTCAAGGAGTATAATACAGTGAAATAAATTTGGAAAGAGGAAAAAAGGGACATGAAGAATTCAGAAGATTAGAGTTTGAGAGAACACAAAGAGTGGATGCACCTGCGCCATTGCAAACGGTTTCGAGCCATGTCATTCAAGGTCTCTAACCATCGGTTTCTATCATCTCGCGATCCCCAACCAGGTAGTGTACACCTACCAACATGACTCAGTCCACTTGTCAGAGACTTCATGGATTTGTGCCATGTTTTGGTCTGGCCTCCTCTAGCTTTCTTCCAACCTACTGCTATACCAATGAACATCGCATGTCGGGGCAGTTGGTGGTTGGGCATACGTAACAGATGTCCCAGCCATCTCAACTGATGATGATGACGAACAGCACTTGAGGCAATCAGTTCTGATGACATTTCGCCATAAGCTCTCACTCGACCAGTTGTGTTCGAGTAGAGAGCCTTTATAAGGTTAATGTACTTCTTCGGTACTCCTTTCAGAGAGAAACACTGCCATAGAACCTCACGATCAACAGAGTCAAATGCCGCCTTAAGGTCGAGAAATACTACGATTGTGGGGCGTCTGAATGTGTGTCTATGTTCTAGGACCTGACGTAGTGTGAATATCTGGTCTATACAACCACGTCCAGGTCGAAAACCAGCCTGGTTTTCTCTAGTCTGCTCTTCACGAGCTTTGGTTAGACGTCGAAGTATTGTTGAAGCTAATATTTTAGACACTATATTAGTCAAACTGACTTCTCTGTGATTGTCACAAGAAGACTTTTGTCCTTTCTTATAGACTGGTACAATCAGTGATTGAGACCAGTCAGATGGGATTACGTCCAGTTCCCAGATTCTACCTAAGACCTCAGTCAATCTCGGTGCTAATACTGGACCGCCATCCTTAAAAATCTCAGGGGTAAACCTGTCAGGGCCTGCTGCTCTCCCACGCTTTAGATTTCCTATAGCTTTTTCAACTTCGTAAAGAGTCGGAGGACCTTCATTAACTTAATAGATAAATTACTGAATGAATAAAAACAAAGAAAGACCTACATCAAATATGTCAGCCTACTCTTATTTCAATATTATTATACGGATGTCACTGAGACATAAACAATATCACTGACTATCTAGTATTTGGGGCTGGTCGTATTCTGTCGACCAAATCAAAACAATGTCCTCGATTCGACCAAGTCACCGTATATCTTTTTTGGTGTAAAATTGTGGACAGCTACAGACAATCAATTTCACAACATAAAATGATTTAATATATAGTGGTTAATTGGGATAGACATCATAGTTCGACAGTTCGTAAAAGTAACATTCATAATTATAGCAATCTGAATTGCATGGGAAGTATAACTTTCATCACGATTACAATATATATCAACCGACCTAAACCTAGAGAATAACATCTTCAAACCCTAAAGTTTCCGATTACTGTTTATACTCTTGCTACCTCTACTACTACGGGATTTGAATGGACAACTGCATCTCTGTGCTAATGTGGTACGGCAACTTGAACTGATGCAAGTACGTACGAAGTTCCACGTTGTATATATATATATATATATATATATATATATATATATATTCAAGTGAAGGATAAATTATCAGTAAGAAATTGGAACATTATAAAAATACTTATTATTGATGGACTATGGAATCTGATAACTTAATGTTTTTAATTATCGGTCGTCTTAATGGAAATAATAAATGGCCTGTAACTAAAAATTGGTAACCCCTGAAAGTGTTTTCCCTATCACATTCATAAATATTTTCAGTTCTTGATAAACCATAAACAAAGCTATTACATAATGGAAACAAAATTACATGTTTGCACTGACGGAAATAAAAACTTTTTCTAAGATATATGGAAGTTCATTCATTTATATGGCATGAAGGAAAAGTGCTTACTATTCACTTATAAAATACATAACATTCTGCTTAACTTTACCTGATGTTTTTTATTTGTATCTTCCCATTGTTATTTAGGACTACAATTGATAACTCTCTTGTTGGTATTTGTGCGGATTGTCTCGATATAGCTTTGAATCACAAGCTTTTTAGGCAAAGATGGATAGTGGCCAGAAGTGGAATCCAGGACGCGCGTTTCGTCAGCTGGATGTACATGCGTTCCAGAGATGACGTTTACTCCCGAACTCGGACGTAGTAGCGTTTGCTTCAAATGCCATCGCATTATCCACTTAGCTAGTGAGTCCTGATAGCCACCTGCTATCAAGTACTGGGTTTGAGTCCTGGAGTGAACATCAACTCTGGCCGACGGGTCCCAAATAGGACGAAACACGCATCCTAGATTCCACTGCTCTCCACTATCCATCAATTCTGCTTAACTGTTCCAAATTAACCTTAATTAATAAACAGTAACAATGAATACATTCAATTTCCAGGTATCATTATTTACAAGATCAGTGTCACATGTATATAAATATGCGTATAAATTAAAGTACACTTTTACTGTATACACATATATTACAAAATATTTATTGAGTATAGAATGGCCTGTTATCAGTTATATAGAAATTAGATGAACTAACACCTATAAGTACATACATTAATAGGAATTTCAAATTATATCAATTTTTTATTACTAAAATTGGAAAAAAATATGTAAATGACAACAAATTTATCAAACAATTGAAATAGCTTACTCCCCGTTACTGGATTAAACGTTTGAAACCTATTCTATCCACATAAATTCTAGACAGAGTATGAAAACAGTGCTGCCCAAATTCAAGTACATAGGACTGTTTCGGTTACTCAGTTGCAATAAGAAACAGTGAACAACTGATTAGAATTTGCATGGTACCTCACACTGAGTACAGGTCATTTACTGATAAAAAGTAGTTTCAATTAACTGTAACTTATTAATGAAAGAGAAGCTTTTTAAACTCAGAGTTGATTTACACTTTACATGTAAGGGTCATTCGTATGATATTGTGGATTGTTACAACAAAAACGGATTCACAATGAAAATAAGCGAGTCGACAACAAGTAGGAATGATTCCCACCCCAGTACCTTGTATCTTACTAAAGCACATAAATATCCGAAGATGATATCTGGTCTATAACTGTAATAAATTTGAATCTAAAGACTATAAATACTCTAGTAATATTATTCGGATTGTGGCGTATGCTACTTATGTCGGTAGATATATGAAGGTAAACTTGAAGGAAACAGAAACAGAATTAGAAAAGAATTGTGAAATAAAAGAATACAGAATGTGAAGGAAAATGATAGAAATTTGCAAATGGAGTATTTAATGTATGGTTCTTATATTTTATCAAGAGAATCTATAATTTTGTATCAAAATGCATTTGGTTGTCCCACCTGTCTGTTCATTCACTGCAAGATCACGTATTCCGTCTTAAAATCTAAAGTAGGAAACATTTAAACATCAAAACCTTGGAATAAGGATTTTTAATTTACCCACATCACCTCGATTAACTTAACGCGAAGTGGTTGAAAGAGGCTTCAAATGAGACTGGATGATTAAATGACTAGTACTTTAACTGCTAAGTTACTGAACAGTAGAGAGAAGTAGTAGTAGAAGTAATACTAATATCAATACTGGTAGAATCAACTTGGCATGGACAAGATTATTTTAGATGTAATGAATTCGTCGAATAAGAAATATAAGATTCGTTCAACACCAAGGATCTATTGAAAGAGAAAGGATGTATGCATCTGCGTTATTGTTACCGATTCTGGGACATGTCACTCGACATCTTCAATCTATGCTTACCATAATCGTAAGAACACTAAGCATGTAATCTGCATCTACCAATACAGCTCAGTCAAACAGTAAATGACTTTATGGACGGATGCCACATCTTGGTTTCACCACACTCAACTTTCTTTCAATATACCCCTAAAATAAGGATGGTTGAAATATAATTTCAATTTTATAAGTCTGTTAAATAAAGCGCTAGAACAAAGCGTTAACAAATAGACACTACGAATTCTTCTTCAACCAATAATAATAAATACTTACGGCTGCTTTCACGACATAGCATTGTTCCATCTAAACATGTTGAATTCATACGTGCACCAGGAGCCGAGTTCGCAATACTGGAATTTCTATCATCAACAGTACCATAATAAACTGATTGATTAGTAAAATGTTCATTACCACTTACACGTGGATAATTGGTACCATCGATAAGTGGATCAGGAGATTTGCCATCATATAATCGTAAATAAATCGGATTATAAGGAATTGACAAAACCGTAATATCATAACCAGCATTTACTAATGATTCAGTTATTTTATCTGATGAAAACAATAGATTATCATTTATTTCAAATTCAGTTGGATAGCTGTTTGAAAACAAACAAACAACGGAGATATTATTTATTATCACTATTAATCATAGGAGAGAGTACGTAGATAATAACATTGATAGATGCCAGAACAAAAAGACGTTAACTTGAAAACAATTGTGACTTGGGTGGTGAACCACATTGAAAATGATGAGGTAGTAAATAGATGACGACAAAAAATGAAAATAGCACTATAGTTAATTCTAAAAAAAGGAGAAACCATTGGATATTGACTCACGGTATCGTGGTCATCATTAGAAATGAGGGTTACGAGCTCTATCGTGAGTGAATTAACGTATGCATAATGCTAATCAATGCTGGTGTAGGAGTAGATTTAGAAAAAAGCTGAGTGTGGTGAAACCAAGATGTGGCATCCGTCCATAAAGTCATTTACTGTTTGACTGAGCTGTATTGGTAGATGCAGATTACATGCTTAGTGTTCTTACGATTATGGTAAGCATAGATTGAAGATGTCGAGTGACATGTCCCAGAATCGGTAACAATAACGCAGATGCATACATCCTTTCTCTTTCAATAGATCCTTGGTGTTGAACGAATCTTATATTTCTTATTCGACGAATTCATTACATCTAAAATAATCTTGTCCATGCCAAGTTGATTCTACCAGTATTGATATTAGTATTACTTCTACTACTGTGTTATATTATCTTGTTGTGCTAATGTAGTGTGACAACTTGAACCGATGCATGTACGTAGCTGGTTCTACTCTGACTAATTGACTTATTTCACCAGTACCAAGACAATGTTTCATTAAGAAATAGTATCAGCTGCAGATTTATGGAAAATCACGGTCGAAATAATGTTTTGGTCGACGTTTTTTGTATATAAATGAGTTTTTATTTTTGTTAATATAGATTAAACTTTTATTTTGGCTTTCTATCTTTCGAAAAAATAGCACTTTAAAGTTCAGAACTCGTGGTTATATGAGTAAATTATGTCCAATATCAACAAATTGTGACATCATATCATGAAACATATCTAAACCTGTAGTGTTGACGTTGTTGTTAAAGTATTCAGTTTTATATCAGTAGATCATAGAATTAAACCTTGCTCCATCTACTACTTTAGTGAGAGCAGTCGAGTACACAGAATATCGTGTGAACAATAATTTGATTGGATTATTTTATTTGGTTCAGTTAATTAAAAATCTACAATATCAACATACGTTTGCCATAGACTTTCTAAGAAAAACTCATTAACTAGGTACAGATTCGTGTAATTGGTTATTGATACTATCCGTCGTTCGAACGAAATTATTCGGAACAGGGTTTAAATTTGAGACTTAATGGTTGGAAGTCAAACGCCTTAGCTACTGAGACATTCCTCATCAGCGACTGTTGACAGTTTTGCAGTAAATATTATCTGCATATAGTTAATTGACATGGACGAATTGAAGAAAAACAAAAATTGATGAATAACATATGCGAAGTATCAAAATGAAAATTACCTATCCACAGTATTTGTTCGATTAAATGCAACAGAAGGCAGTAACCACGGTGCTATGTCTCGTCGACATTGAATAACCTATTTAAAGTGGAAGAAAATAAGCCAAGTAATAAATCCGACAAAAATATAGTGAAAAAATTCTTGAAGTTCGTAATACATAAATGCGATTAGTGGGGACTTGTCGAATTTGAAGATCATGAATTAATATCTGCTAAGGTGTCACCGAAATATGGATAGCAGTAAATATGTTTCGCTTCTATTTTAAAACATTTCATATGATCCCACTTAAGATTGACCTCAAAATTGACACGTATCCTGAAGATCCAACGAGAAGACGTAATCAGTGTCAACAACCGCATCGGAAGTGAAGTGAAATCCCGTTAATTATAGTAAATCATGATCGTGTAATTATGCAAATTAGGGACGCTTTATGAAATTCAAGCATTGAAGACAGAAATCTGCATGCAGAAGTAGCAGATTTCTCATATAATTTTTTCTACTTAATAATATGTTCTTAATAACTTCATGTTTTTCATTTCCTCCTCACCTCCTGGATATTCGCCAAGCGGACAATTAGCTTCCATATATTTAAACCGTCAACTATTCACTAACTCTATCTATTACATAACTTTCTGGTAACATTTGAAATTTCCAAACGCCTTGTGATGAAGGCACCTTCTATTTATCAATTGACTACAAACATTTTCTAAACAGTCATAAAGACAATTGTATAGCTCCAGTAAATGATATAGTCAAAATATGATGAATTTGATTCGTCAAATCATTTGTACTTATTTTTCAGTTAGTGTTAGGTTCATCGCATATTAGGATGGTATTAAGCTTACCAAAAATACATAAGAACCATGGATACAACTATATAAGATGACAGGAACGAGTAACTAATGGTTTCCAAATGAAAACAAAATAGTTGTCTAGTTCTTAGAAGCGTTCAATGGTTCCTTAAATGATATCAGCTTCTACTGACGTAATTATAACATATAACAAAGATCATTGATAACAACATTAGACTAAGGATAGAGACCCGAGAGCACCATCAATATATTTTCATTCATCGTATTCACTATTACATATATATTTTGATATACCAGTATGAAAAATAACCAAAAGTCACTTACAGTATAAATATGTTCACTAAGTGATTGAAGATTAATCAATTGAACGAGTAATGTTATTGTACTAGCTAATAATGCATGTAAAGCACAGCGATGTGTTAACGGCATATACGTATTTTCATCAATGATTTTTGTTTGAACTGCTAAGATTAAACGAAACAATTCCGTAATAACCTGATGAAAAAAACATGATAGAAAGAATTGGTTTATTAAATAAAAATAAATAAAACAAACGAAAGTGATGTAAAGTGTTTTGTGAAGAAAACTACACTTGATGCGTTTTGTATCATCCACTGTTCCACAATTCGAAATTTCGGTGCAATTATAAAACAAAACAAAAGATATATAACAGAAGTTAAAAACCATAATCTTGTATCCAACCGTTGCAAAGACAAAAATAACACTCATAAATCATATTGCCGATAAGATGTAAGCTGATAAATAAATTACAAAACGTGAGGGTATGTGAAGGAATCCAATTCAGATACCTTTGAGAATAGACGAGTAAGAACGCAGGTATCAGGGCGTCAAACTGAAACTTACAGGTGTAGTTCCCAATTTAGAAAAAGAGGATTTTAAGTGTTCTAACTGAAATTCCAAGAAACTAGATTTTCGAACACTGAATTTTAAGGAAAGAAAATAACACGTTTCCAGAAAATATAATTCACATTACATAGATTTGCTAGAATTGATAGAATGATTACTTACAGTGTTGTGATTATAAAATAATACGATTGATTTCAATTAAAACTTAATACGAACAATCATACTAATAAAACCGGATATTAAACGAGAAAGCCGACCTAGATTATAATATGGGAGTCAGAAGAATTCAGAACGGAAGTTTCAGATTACGTGAAACACATCAATTGTAGGTATTCGCTGTTAGTGGCATGTACAATAACTAAAAAGTTTGACGAACTGAATAATAATTGAAACGCTTACTAAGCCGTGTGACCCTGATTTAATTAATCATTCTTAATTTGAAGATGTGTGAATTTCCAATCGATAAGACATTGTCATTTATTGTACACACAATCGTAATTGTTACTTTGTTCATTTAACAAGTTATGTAATACTTTTCAGTGTATATGCACGTGTACGTGCATGGTTTATGTAAACAATCGGTTCTATAATCTTACTTTCAATTATTATACTACCACTTAAAAACAGATGGTATCGTAAACTGTTGTGTGTTCAAAGTCATGTTTACATATTGACAAAAAGTCAATAACTGAGCGTAATCATTATTGCGTGTAATATTAACTGGATTCAACCAGATATCTTTAATTAAGAAAGATTAAAGTACACATATACGATGTTAAATCACAACGAAATCATCAGTATTTACAGTAAGCTGAATCCATGCACATCAGTAGACAAGAAGTCTCCATAGAAAATCAATTTATATTAAAATATCGTCGAAAGATAAAGACAAAAACATTTTTTTAAAAAGAGTAAAAGACATTTTAAAACCAGATAGATTAAAAATTATTAGGAGTTTCAGGTATACGAGGATTGCTGAATTAACAGTGCGCTGACTGCAAAAAAATATCATGAGTTGATTTATGTTTGAAATATGAATCACTGGATTTTCGACTCGATATTCTAAAAGTATGTTGCCAACCGCGAGAATTGGAGGTTTTACGCTCTACCTTATGTTTGGCTATATATTTGTGATGACGAAGAATCACAACATGGACAGTTGTATAATGATGCACCTTAATTTTCATTCAATTATGAAAATAAACTTTAGGACAAAAAACTGTCCAGTCAAAACAATTTATTGCCAATAATATGCGAGTGGTAACAACTGAATAATGATTTTTTTTACGTCTATTATGATACTAAATTGTATTTAAATCTATAAAACAGTGTAACTGTCTATAAGATACCTACTGTACTTTAATAAATTATTAAAAAAGAATAAGGCACATTTCATTTGATCTTTTTTGTATTTAGAATAGCATAAAGGGTAAATGGTTAACTCAATCCCATGTAAAGAAAATAAAATACAAAAACTAACCTGTTCTGCACCCATTTCTAAGGCAACCAATCCAACAGTGCATGACAGATATTCTAAATTATCTACTTTGTTACTAGGATCTAATAACTGATGATAGATATTTTCAATGAATAACACACCAGTCTGTGATAAGAAGGGACAAAAAAGAAAGGAATTTAGATGTTACTGTCATTGACATCAATCAAAAACATTGATCATTTAGAGCTATATATATATATATATATATATATATATATATATATATATATATATATATTTCGAACACTAAATAATACTAAAGTATGCCATCGTGATAGAGAGGGTTCAACTTTACGTATACACTCCCCTATATTTTAGTGTTTGGATATTTGTTTCATGACAAAAATAATTAATATGGACAGATTAAATATTTCAGGGTTTTTTAGTCAAATAACAAATGTTGTTTATGCGCTTTAGTTGAAATTTTAGGAAAACCCTTCGTCATTCAGCAGGTATCAATTATTCATACTGATTGACAAGATAGGTTTGTGACCTGTTATTACCCTGACATTGGTAGATTGTAGATACTCATAAGTGATGATTGCCTGCTAGCACACTTCAGGTGCGAGGTCTATATAGTCCGACTACTTAAAACCGATTAGGTGGTATGAAGTTTCAACGTGTTGTCTAGTGGCTGAATGTAGAGAATTCTTTAATCACCAAGGCATAGCTCACCAAGTTAAAATTAAATGATTGAAGTATAAGCTAACTTACCTACTTTGAACATTATTTTAGTAGTACGAACGGTTGCAAAAAACTTCAAATTAAAGGAATATAGTGATGGATACTTCTTTAACGTGGTAAGATTACATTCATTTTATAACATTGTCGTTTATTTCGATCCTTTCTCATATTTCAATTATATCATTTTCATTTCTTTCCGATTCATAATTCTAAATCTAATTGGCTGACTTCAACCGATGTTATTCCTTACTGCTATTATTCTGTGTTTAGTTGTTTCAATATGTAACTGGGTAAAACTTTGTAGCCCTATAAATTTATTTACTATTTTAATATTCTGGAATTTTCCAGCTCACATTTTTTTATCTGAATCACTTTTTCCTGATCATATCAACTTTCTGGTTGTTTCGCTCCATCATGATGACACAAATTCAGTTCTAATCAAATCTGCTTGCATAACTATGTACACCTATGATAATTTTGATTTAGAAATACTATAGGTTGTAAGTGGCTGATGATTTCCTAACAAGATCAAATTAACTCATGTTATTCTGATCGAATCTTTGTTTTTCCTCTCATTAAATGGATAGGTATTCATATATGAGTTATAGGTATATTTTCAGCTCGGTTAGAAAAAAAAAGCTTTCTACTCATTGTTAGATTTCTCAATCAAATAATTGCATTAAGTACTCACATAAAAAACGCTGATGAAATGCAGAGTCTTTTGGTAGCACTGAACAACAATGCCAGAATGTTTGGGATGCGCTTCTCTCCCTCCAAATGCAAGTTCTTGCTTCAGGACTGGTCTGCATCAACACCTGAACTAAGGATAGGGGGTGAAGTAGTCGAACGCGTCGACAACTTCACTTGTCTTGGAAGTCTGATCAGCCCTAATGGGTTGGTGTCTGATGAAATCTCAGCACGGATTCGAAAAGCTCGCTTGGCCTTTGCCAACTTACGTCATCTATGGCGAAGGCGAGATATTCGTCTATCAATTAATGGACGAGTATACTGCGCGGCAGTTCGTTCCGTCCTTCTATACGGCTGCGAAACATGGCCTTTAAGAGTGGAAGATATTCGTAAGTTACTAGTATTTGACCACAGGTGCCTTAGAAATATTGCTCGCATCTGCTGGGATCACCGGGTAAGTAATAGTGAGGTTAGACGCGGGGTATTAGGGAATGATGGTAAATCAGTTGATGAGGTTATGAATCTTCATCGACTGAGATGGTTGGGCCACGTGTTGCGTATGCCTGAACACCGATTACCACGACGCGCAATGCTGACTAGTGCAGGGGATAATTGGAAGAAAGTTAGGGGCGGCCAAACCAAAACGTGGCATCAGTGCTTGAAGTCACTAACTTCTGGTCTGAGCCATGTTGGTAGATGCAGACTGCCTGGTTGGGGTCCGCATGACTATCGTAACCAATGGTTGGAGACTCTTGGTGACATGGCTCAGAATCGATCACAATGGCGTCGGTGTATACACTCTCTGTCTTCCTTTAAATGAAGAGATTAAAATCACTTCAAATCTTTCTTTCTAGGAACTAATTCTATCTTCCTGTACTATCTCCTTATACACACTCTTTCTTCTATATATTACCACCACTGAATTAACTACTTCTATGAATCCGGTGTTCATCTTGTTGTGCTAATGCGGTATGGCAACTTGGACCGATGCATATATGTGCCTGGTCCTACGTTGCAGCTGAATGAATGACCTGATCCTAATTAACCACCTATGAAGAAACAGGAGATAAAGTGAATCTTAACTGCCCAAAGCCCGATAGCAATCTTTACGTATCAAGGATATTTATGGTTTGTCAGACTAATTGGAAACTTTTGGTAGCGATCTTGGTTATTAATCAGTCCTCATTGTCAACTCACTTTTCATATGACCTTAATATAAAATATCATTTGTCCAACTTTATCCAATTTAACAAACAACCGAATAATTTGGATAGGTGTTGAAATTTTTGTGATATGTGACATTTGTTCTGAATGTTTCACATACAGATTTCTATGTAAGTAAGAACTTTAGATGAATGAATAATTAAGAAAACCAACAAAAACCATGATAATTACTTTTATAATATACTTTTTGAACCTAAATAATGATTTTCTCTAATGGACATTTTAGTATACGATATTCCTTAATGCGTTTTGTCACATATTTCATTTTCATAATTTTTACGAAACGAAAAAAGAATGGTATTTTCTAGATGGTCAGAGCAACTTATAAATTAAGAGGACGATTTCAACAAAAATAAACTATCTACTGTGAAGCTTTCAATGTTTTTCCAGAGAACATTAATCAGCACAATGAAAATCTCGTGAGATATATATATATATATATATATAGTAAGAAAAGTTTTCACAAACATTTATAAAACAATGTAACTTTGAATAAAGAAAAACGTTTACCTTTTTCATGAATAAAATATCTTGTCTTTCTGGCTTCTCCAAAATAAAATAATTGCTCAATCCATTCTCACCGTAAATTCTTAAGCAAGAATAAAACACGTAGGAAACAGAAGTAAGAAGAAACAAAAAGGTATTGCAAATAAAATCAATCAGTAATTTTACTGAACATTTCAAAATACAAATTTTCAAAATTTTATTTCGCTGGAAAATAATAAACAAATATGTGATTGATGGAAACAGACATAATTTAAATTCAAAGAGAGAATCCAAGTGACAAGGTAGTTTCGAATTTGCTTGTAATTCAATTACAATCGGTTAATTGATACTGTTCTGAGAATGAATGATATCGAAAATCGTAATCGCTGAACCAATTACAGTTCTGTAAAATTTCCGTAACAAAATTAATTATCTTGTATAAAAAATATTATTCTGAACAGGAAGCGTTATTATCCCGTTTGTTCAACGTTCAACAGAAAAGTTTTTATACGTTGCTTAAAAAAATTGATGCAGTTACATTGATTGTATTGGTTACGTAGTGAAATGATGCAGTGTGAAATTAAGTTATTATATATAAGCTACTTTGTCCTCAACCAGTGAATCGATTTTAGACAACGGTGATTTACATCAATTGTCACAGAAAAATACACAATGAAAATCTATACAAAATATGTGGTGTTGCTACTTATATTGACAGACATAAGTAGTATGTAGCACCAGTCGGAAGTGGAATGCATGTCAGCAGAAAATTGAATAGAAGAGAACAGGAAAGGAAACATATAGCAACTGTAATAACAAAATTGAAAAAATCATAAGGCATGTAAAGGACAATTGAAGGAAGATGAGCAAATAAATTGTTTAATGTATGGTTTTCATAATTCACGAAGGCACTCTGTAATTTTGCATTAAACAATAAATTGGTTTTGTCCACCGGTCTTCGTTCACTACATATAAACTTCCTAATGGTAATTAGTGTAGCGTGTTAAATGAGCATAGCATTTCGCATCTAGTTATCAACCAAGCTTTACCAATGGGAGCTAGTGATGTTACCAAGAGCCAATCAAAAAATAAAGTGGTTGAGAAATGTTCTGTACAGACGATCTAGTTCCTAAAAGTTGTATACCTTATAGCAAGCAAAGACGACTATTCACTAACGTTGATAGATTAACAGTACTTGCTAACAAAGAACTGAAGAAAGAAGGAAATGGTGTGAACTACAAATGAGAACAACGTGAGATACAGGAATTTAATACCGACAGAAGATAAGGAATGGATCCATCTGGGTTATCGTGAGCGATTCTGAGACATAATTGCGACCATCTCGCGGACCCTAGCCAGGTAGTACCTATTTACCAGCATGGATTAGATCAACAATTAACGACTTCGTATACCGAGGCCACGTTTCGATTCGGCTTCGCTAGCTTTATTTATTTATTTAAACACATAAACATTGGTACAAGGAGGCACCAAACAGATATGCACTACATGAATCACTCGATTTATGTGAGGGATAAGATACTGCCCGTATGCCCAGACTGAAGCTGGTGGTTTCCTTAGGGTGTCACACTCCGAGCCTTCGACCTAAAGATCTAATCCACAGGGCAGTGGAGTAACGTAAGTAGATGCAGTCCCATATTAGCCGTTGACCAACGATTGGTTCATACACCATTTATTCCCTCAGGATCCTGGAGCCTATGTGCATCATTGGTTTGGAATCAAGGTTTTCCAACTTCCCTAAGTGGACTCTCCGTGCCCACCTCTCTAGTTTCCTTCCGACGTACTTCTGATGGATGAGAAAATCTCTACAGAAACAGACAGTAGCATGTTTAATTTTCTGATAATGTATCTTATCTACTGCACAAAACAGTTATTTATAAATCGCCTGTGATGAAATGTGCAGAAACGCATTTTGTTCAACCATAAAATTAGTTTGATTGTTTATCAGAAAAGGATGTCTAATGAATGTACTGAACGCATTACATGTACTTTTGAGGTTAGACATTCAGCGTTGAAATAGCTGAAACAAATATTACATATACATAATCTTAAGTCACTTTGACGTGACATGCGAGTTGAAGCCGAATCGAATAAATGCAACGTTGATGTGAATAAGACTTGATGTTAATTCATGAAGTGACTATCTGTTGAACTGGGCCTAGTACAAAATTTCATAATCTGGATTGTTAATAACAGCTGAAAATGACAGTTTGAAATAGTTCCACATTAATTTTGATGCAACTCATTTTATTTCCATTTTGGATCACAAATATTTTATTATTCTGTATTTGTTTATTTCCTATTTCAAATAGTTTCGAAACTGCTATGTCATGTTTACCTCTGTTAGTGTGTATCAATCTAGTATGGAGTACCACAACCACTAAGCACATAAACTATGATAACAACAAGATTAACAATAATAGCACTTTTGATAACATTCGACTCACCGAACAGTCAACAACTGTTCCGTATTCCCATGTCGATCAATTAAAGTATGTAGTATTTTCTGTACAATTATTCGTATGACGGGATCTGGATCAATCGCGACACCACGTAATAAAAGATTTAGAAAGTCCGAATTCAATGCGTTCGATATAGCCACTGTTTTATATTGTGTGGCGACAGTTAGCATAGTTTGTAATAGGACCATAATTAACGGTTTCGGACGATCACCATACTCTGGATGATAGCTGTTTAAAGAAAAGGAATAATCAAAGTACAATTGTTAAAGAACAACTGAAATCCAAGACAACAATCAATCATAATCGTGGCAGGCCCTGTCAAAAATGTGCGTTAGCTCAAGTTGCCCTACTACAATAACGGGATAAAACGTAATATAACATTAAAGTAGAAAAATAGTCCGATTTCGGCAATAGCATCAATATTAATAACTTTTAAACGACACAGCTCATACCTTATATGGTGTATAAATCAAGCAACAAAAAATAAACTGGTAATCATTTCATTCAGTTTCTAAGAACAATATTATTTAATATCTCATGCATGAGGCATATTTCCTAAATACATAAAATTGCTTGATTTAATATATACATGCGAATCCAAATACCTTCATAAACAAGAAAAGCCATTACCGAAGCAAAACGAAAAACTCTCTATGTGTACAACGAAAAGCATGTCAGTTATTCTGAATAGCATTTTACATTAGTTTCTGATCACTAACTGAAAAATTTAGTGAGATTCAAATGTAGAATTATTTCAGAAAAGTAGTGATCAACTCCTTAGAGTTATTTAGACTTCAATTCATCTGTGTTACATATATTTGAGTGCCGAATACTAGAGACATTGAAATCCTAGCCACCTCTTAGATTCCAATAACTTAGCGAAATTTGTACATCGGATAAAAAGAATGTGATAATACAAAAAGCTCAAGTTTAAGTGTAGATAAAAAAATATTGATACGTAAAAGTCTACTCAATAGTAGCTAATTAAATTGTAAGGTCATTATCCCATCGAAAGTACATTCTTTAAACAACCTAAGAATCGATTCATTTCCTTTTTCCTGGGACCACTGTAGAAGGGATAAGTAATTTTTTCTTCAACATTAGAATGAAAGTTTTTTTGAGTTCTGTTATACAGCTTGTGCTGTTGCTGTAATAGTTACGTCATTCCCTCAATTTAAGTAAATTGGTTTATTTCTCTCCTTATATTTTCTCCTATCTCATTGAGCCTAAACCTTATAAAATTCGTTTCTATAGTGTTTACACAATGTATAAATCATTTAATTCTCTAGATACCGAATCTAAAGTTAGAATAATAAAAAGTAAGATTCATAGTCATAAGTTTCTCACAATTTTTATTCATGACTGTACAAGTAAAATATAATTACACATAGACGTGAGAGACACTTTGCAGATTTCAGATAGTTTACATATGAGATATTTTTAATATAACAACCGAATAATCCATTTATAATTGAGTGGTTGTTTATTTTAAATTGCGAGTTATAATGACTCGAAAAAGATTCTATTACCTAAAAAATTCCCATTACTTACTAACCTACACCTATTGCCCCTCATGGAGGAGCATAGACCACCCAATAGAATTCTCTATCGAACTCTGCATTAGGAAATCCATTCTAGTTGTTCTAAGTTGCCATTCATGCCTTTGATGTCGGCTTCCAATTCTCGATCCAGTGTATTCTCTAGTCTTCTACTCTTCCGTTTTCATTCAGGATTCCAAGTTGGCGCTTGCTTCGTGGCTCAGTTTGATTAAATCCTCAATGAATGTCCTTTCCAAATCCAGCGTCTTTTCCTGATTTCCTCTTCGACTGAAAGCTGGCTTCTACTCTCCCACAGTACTCTGATGCTGATGATATCCAACCAACGAACATTGAGTATGTCACGTATACAACTACTCATAATTACTTGTGTATTTTTGATGATGGTTTTGATATTTCTAGAAGTTTCATCTCTGTACAGTAGAACTATCGTGACGTTGGTATTAAAGATCTTATCTTTGATGTTGGCTGACAGATGTTTTGAGTCCCATATGTTTTTCAACTGAAGAAATGTCACCATTTGCCAATCCTTGCCTTTGCATCTGCATCACATGCACATAGTGACGAATTCCACTCAAATAATTGCTCAACAATAATCCTAATGGTCGCGATTTGGTACATGCTTATAATGCTTGTAAATTAAGGCAATATCGAGGCAATACGCACAGTATGCACATATGCCAATATGAGAGACTGATCAATTGCAGTCATAAACATCAATGGGAAGATTCAAGTAAAACAATATCAAGTGAATTAAACTTCACCCCATTGCACAAGCAAGTAGCTATCAGGACTCAGTATCTAATTGGATAACGCGATGGCGTTTAAAGCGGACGGTACTGGGTTCGAGTCGCAGAGTAAACATCAACTCTGAGATGCAGGTACATCCAGCTGACGAGTAAAAAATAGGACGAAATGCGCGTCCTGGATTTCACTGCTAGTCATTATCCATCTTTGCTTATAATGTGATTTTATTTTTAATTTACTTATTGTTCATGTGATGGTCGATTGCATAAAATGAGAACATAGTAATATTAACATAGGCTACGCTGACATCAAACTGATACATTCGATTTTATCCCATTTACTGTAAATTAATTAGTTAATACACTACAATTATGTATGTCTGTTTTCATTCGAATCGGGATTATTTGGATTAAGGTTAACTAATAAAATGGAAATATCATCTTTCCAGCCAATCAAAATCCACTTGATTCTTTTATTACTTTGTATCTTATGCTACTGAAACAGTTTATGTTGTTCATTAGTTTAATACACGATTAGTCATGTTTACTGTTTGAGTGTAAATGATGAAAATATACTGAAATTTAAATGATTTCAACAACCCATCAAGCTATTCTCAGTTGAAGACTCAATTATATACTAAATGATTTTGACATTCTACTTTGATATTGATCTGATCATAGGTGATATGTTTGAAGATTGATTATTCGATTGTTTTTTATCGTCTTCATATTACTACCATTCTATTCATGTTTCTTTCTTCGGTTCTCATCGTGGCGAAGGTTGTTATGATAATTGTAGTTAGTCATTTACATCTTCTTCCTACATGTTATGATTGGCTTCCTTTTTTAAAAAGTATGAGATAGTGAAAAAATAAGTGAAATTTTCGCTTATAGGCTTCTACAATACTATGTCTGTTTTCATTTAGCATATTAAATGTGTTTACTTCTTTCATCGCTTGATTTATTATTATCAGTATAAGATCGTCTGAGTTTTAATTGAGATCATGAACTGGTCAATTTTAAACCATTATGGAAAACCTGGTAGCAATGGACGGCCGTTTAATTCAAGTATGAGACTCCTAATCAGTGCTCGTCCATGATCCCGTACGTTTCCAGGTTTCAAATGGTAGTCTAACATTGATTGGTTCATGATTTATCACTAATAATCGTCATTTTCATGTAATACCAACTTATTCATTATTTTTTGTGAGCTCAGTGAAATATTAATATTGAAGATTAGTTTTATTGACATATTTTCATCAAGCTCATAAGGGATCACCAACTTTAAGGCGAATACTACCGTCGTAAAAGTAACAAGATGGGGACTTAGGAAGTTTGCTAGAATAAACTGAAATTATTATTGTTGGAACGGCTATCATGCAATGTTAACTTGAATAGTTTTGTACTTCAGTCTTGTAACTACGTGAAGTTAACTACTACTCACTTTATCTTACTATTCCTTACTGAATTCTTACTACTATACATTATAAAATCTTTCACCAAACATTTAGTTTGGTTCGTTATTACATTACTGTTTCTCTGACCTCATGTTATCCATATTTATTCTAATTGTTAATTTCACAAATTCAATTGATCCATAAACTTAACATTGAATGATAGACATTTCAACACTAGGGATTTCATTTTATTTTGCCAACAGTCCTATATTCGTTTGCTGTAATTCTCACAAATATGTGGTTGCCTGAAACTTGACTATCCTTTTGAAACATTAGTTTAAATTTATAAATGCAGAACCTGATGAACATTTATATTTCTCTGTTTCCATAAAATGGGGATTTTCGGAGAAACCATAAAAAGTAATTTTTTAATTTTTCTAACTTATTTTTTTTCACTTGTTTTTTGAATGATACCAATTAGTCGTATTATGAAAGCTATTGTCAAATTACTTTAATATTTTCAAACAAAATTAGTACAAATTATTCATTAGTTTATATTTGCTTGCCTGTTTCTTGCCTTTGTTTTCTATTTTTATTCAGACAACTCAGGTGGCGCATAGTCTAGTCAAACAATTAGTTGCTCATCTCAGCCTACATGAATCCGACTTCACATTGTCTGAACGTACAAGTTTAGTTCAGGTAAGACACTAAGACATATAAACGATATACGCAATTTCCATTTATCCTTTTGACTATTTCATTGACTCTCTCTCTTTCTTTGCTCTTCTTGGAATGTTGTTGATTGCTGTATTCTCGTTCTTCGTTCCTTGAATCTTGTCCAGGTTCTTGATAAAAATCCATTACTTATGATGATGCCTCTTGAGTCCCAGAACCTTCTGACACATTGGAGTTAGTGCTACTTTGATCCCTTTCCAGTTGTCCGCCATTATAGTTTCCTCTTCTTCCAGTAGATCTTGTAAGGCTTGGAACCTGTTATTGAGAGCTATCTTGAATTCGTTGAGTTTGTCAGTATCTCGAAGGAAGGCTGCATTAAGCCTTCGTAATCCTATTTCTCTATCTGTCCAGTGCTTCTTTAGCTTCAGTTTCATCTTGTCAACTACCAGGTGATGATCTGAAGCTGTGTCAGCTCCTCTTCTGCTTCTCACGTCTTCCATTGACCTTGTAAACTTTTTAATGATGCAAATATGATCGACCTAGTTCTTTGTAGTGTGATCCAGTGAAATTCATGTAGCTTTGTGCATGCGTTTGTGGGGAAATATTGTGCAGCCTATAACCATTTTGTTGAAGGCACATAAATTTACAAATCTGTCACCATTCTCGCTCCTTACTCTCAGTCCATGTAGTGATCAGATTACAGCAGCATCTCTCCCAAATCTATCCTTTTCTGTCCATCTTGGGTCCAATGTGTTTCATTGATTCCGAGCACCACCAAGTTGTATCTCTTCATTTCCGTAGCTATTTGATCAGTCCTCCCAGTCTCCTACATTGTCCGAACATTCCATGTATCTATATTAATTGTTGCTGTGGTGGTCAGAAGGGGCGTCGGTCTCGTGGTTTTCGGAAAATCTCGGATTTCAACAAGAGGCGCCATAATTCTTCTGAATGAAGGTCCTTCAACTCTCAGGGCAGAGTTTAAACAATTTACATTGTTTTTTCTAATTAGAGTTCTTTAAATAATGTTGTTTTCTACGGGATATGGTTGCTGACCTATACACAACCCTCCTATTTTATCTGGGCTTGAAACCGGCAGTAACCGTGAAGCTCTATAGATGCTGTAAAACCAAATAACACTCTTAACCATTCAACCTTAGAGTCGAATCCGATTCCGAAATTTTGTTGGGTTTGTTCAAAATGTGACTGAAAGCTAAATACGTAAACGTAAACTTAGTAAATTAGTTGGGTTTTAAACGTCTAATGTACTTTCCCTATTACACTAATATCCACTGAAAGCTTGAAAATATAAAAGCACTGAATGTCAATTCATTAGATCAATCGCATTGTGTTCACATGAAGATTTATGAACTATCCTATACAAGTTCATGTGTTGTTTACATTGATTAAAAGATCTAAATTACAGCAGCACAAATATACATTCTTCAGTTTTTAATAGCTATCCAATTGAAGTCTTAGTTGATGATAAAATATAATTTCGACCTATACAAAATTATCAGAAATAACCACATAACATTACATTATAATCCAATATCTGGATGTGAAAATGTCACTTGTACACAAACAAATATAAAAAAAATCAGTTCATTTGAAATTATGTAACTAAAACAAAAAGCAAATAATGATCACCACAAAGAATGACCTATTATGACTTGGCATCATCCTCTTTGTTTAGAAGTTCCATTCAAGCTTACATATAGCTTTGTGACCGATATAGTTTACAATAAGATAGTAATTATTTATCGCAAGAAAAAAGAAATGAAAAATGGATTGAATCATATAATAAACCAAACGATTTGGTATTTTTTGTTAGTTCACTTTCCAGTATATACAGCACAATAAAATATTTAATATGAATATTATTTAGACTTTTTCGAATTTTAAAAGATCTGAACAGTATTTGAAGGCTATAGTATGTATAATCTACATGCTAAACGAATCATATATATATATATATATATATATATATATATATATACGCCACCACCGTATACTTCAACTTGAAGCCCTGACTCTTGTAATAACATGTTGGATGACAGCTAGGGATTACCAAAACAATATTTGGCACCAGCAGATGAACTTATCAACTACTGGATTGAGCCGTGTTCATAGATAAACATTTTCTATTAGAGGTCTTAATGACTTTTTTAAACAGTGGTGTGAAAGGTTGGATGGCATGTTTCACTCTTTGTTTTCCTTTAAATTTTGAGTTTCAAAATTATCTTATACTTTGTATTTGATGAGTCAATCCTTTCTCTTCGAATCGTATTGTCGATCTCCAATTTTTTCACTATCTCTGATACTGTTACTACTTCTGCTAATGTGGTGTTTTTCTTGAATTTCATGTCGTTGTGTTAAAGTGACAAATTCAACCGATGCATATATATTCTGGATTTACTGCATTAGCTATTCAGTGTTTAATAACAGTAATAAAGTACAATATAGTGTGATTACACAGTATCATACAGACACATAAACCCGGTTTATTAAAAAAAAACCAACAGTAATAGAAAAAGGGTAGATTCAATATTAGGACTGTTTATACACTTACTTAACCATTGGCTCAAAATTCAATATAAATTTCAATATTTCAATTTTTTGCGTGTCCGGAAGATTTTTAGCAAATTCGGCTATAGTATTGATAATTGCCTCTTGAAACTGACGTTCACCAGATAATTTTCGATTAGAATCATTAAATGAAGGTTGATCAAGATCAGATATTTGTGAAGTTTTATCAATACTGGCTTTTAAGATCTAAATGTTTCGGCGTAGATTGGAATAACAGCAATTCGACAAATAAGACAAGTCAGTAATACGTATATTTAAAGATACTTCAGTGAAGTAATTTAGAAACAAACTTTAAAATTTTCACAATAGGTATTCAAAGACATGTGAAATAGACAATATAAGAACCTGATAACCTTTTTAATCCTCAAATAAAGTAGTTATTGTTAATAAACCATATAGTCGTGATATTACTCAATTCCGTAACATTTGTGTACATAGATATAAGCCAGGCATTTTCGCATCAGGATTGAATAAACTACCTTCCTGCCTGCATCAAACAAGGTTGAAGAATGTTTGAAAATGTGACTACAAAGAAGAATGTTGAAAGCCCTACGTACTGAGACAATGATTGAAATAAACATTGCTGGATGTTGTGCCGATTTTTCCTGTAATATTTCCTCACCTTAGTTAATCTTGACTAAGTAATCATTCAAAATTATGTATATCTTCACATCAAATATCACTAATGCCCCCGAATGCCCTGGTACGGCCGAGAGTGGGGGGAGTCCGCTGTCCCTCTCGAAATGCTCTCATATGGCCACGCGTATACAGCCCCTGCCAGGGAAGTCCTACTCACTGCCTTCTCGTGGCATTACTGTTGTTTACGAAAATGAGAGGACGAAAAGCGAATGTCCGGCGCTTTAACCGGATCCCAAATCAATGGTGCACATGGGCTCCAGTATCCTGAAGAAAAAAATGGCGTATGAACCAATCGTTGGTCACCGGCTACCATGGGACTGCATCTCCTCACGGTGCTCCACTGCCTTGTGGATCAGACGTTCAGGTCGAAGGCTCGGGGTGTGGCCCCCTAAGAAAACCACCTGCTTCGGTTTGGGCACCCGGGCAGTATCACAGCCCTCACACATATTAAATGAGATATGTGTGGTGCATATGTATTTGGTGCCTTCTTGTACTGATATTTATGTGTTAAAATAAATAAATAAATAAATAATGAAACGGGCCGAACATATTTAATTTATGTTCTACTATAATTATGACATGAATAACCAATTAAATTTTACATTTATTGACAGAAATCAAAAAGCAATGAGATAAAGGGTGTGGGTGTACAGTAAATTGGATTTATTGTTTCACTAACATCGTGCACAAAACTAAGATACAAGCCCTTAATTCATATGTTAACAACATCAACGCTACAGTGCTGATAAATCTCTATCCACCACAAATTCCTGGTGTCCGTTGTTCTTCACTGGTTCACCAATAGTTGACATCAGTATTTGTTTGAAACCAAACATAAAATTATTTTCTATCACAAAAATATTTAATATAAAATGTTAACTACTAATGAGTTACTCGATTCAATGATGTAAATACGTACCACTGGCACAATTTACAAGTGTGAATAATGACATAAATAATAAGTCCAAACTAATGCTACTTTTACTAACATTCTCAAGCAATATTTTGATTAGATTGTATAAACAAAATGTATATATATTATAACCATTATCACATATACAGATCAGATGTCCCAATCTACCTAAACTGAGATAATATAATTATACCTAGAATTTCAAAGACGAAACCTGAATACTTTATTTGCGTCGAATCTAGCGAACTGTAGTAATGAAAGTGTATTAGACAATAAAGAATGTAACAACAATTAATTCAATGTATATTAATATCCCGTAATAATTACGTTGGTGTTGTGGTCTTTGGACTGTGTGGTTTAGTTATGAAGGTTTTATTGTCCTTTAGAACAAAATCGTCATCATATACCGTTTAAAGCATGTATTAATGACGTTATTCAAAAGAGACAACCAAAGCTTCATAATTAAACCAACTAATTCACACACGACAACACTTCCAACATCCTCATACAGAGCTGTAGATATTTTTAATCTGATAATACTTATAATGTCTACTGTAATTATATGACAAATAATAGAAAAAACGCCAATGAAAGAACAATAATCAAAGCTATTTACTACATATATACTACAGTCTGTACATAAAACTGAGAGAAAAAAACGGATGAAAATTATTTATTCATTATTCCATTACTGTAATTGCATTTTCTTAAACCAACTTTGGTGAAAAACCCAGTATAAATTTGTTTATTCATATTCATATAAGTCAGTCCGGCAAATGAATCTTCTTTGCCGCACTAGTTTTTTTATATATCCTATGGATTTACGGGTCTAAACTAATAACTACGGATAAATGATGCAAATTATATATATATATATATATATATATATATATATATATATATATATATATATATATATGAGCCCCAAACTATGGATGAAATATAAATTATATTTGAAATAATCTCAGCGACTGAAATTTTAAATAATTTCAACGTTTCGTCCAGCTAACTTGTCTGGACTTCTTCAGGGTAATAATCAATCGCTGAGATTATTTCAAATATAATTTATAATGACTTCTTTATACTCGGCGCCCAATATCTGTCAAACTATTCGTTCTAATCTTGACGAATATTCGTATGGATGAAATAGTTATTCAGTGCTACTTCATAACTAAACAATCATCATGGGATGACGTTAGTTCATCATAGTGAAAACGATTGAATCGACTAAAACATTTAATTCAGATAAAATGTGAATTGTGTTCGGAAATTTAATAATCTTCAGAGCAGAGAGTAGTATAGTAATCCTTTCTGTCTGTTCATTATTTCTTTTGATTGAAGTGAATTAGATTTTATTATAATTATTGGCCGATTTAGGATTGTTATCACCATTCTGTTGTTTTCGTTTTCACTTATTCTCACTAATCACTACTTTGTAGATGAATATTAATAAAATAGATGAACTACTTCCAGAGTTTACATATAATAAGTGATATTGATGTATTAAGTAATGTAATCAATTAATAACCAATGTTAAATACAGCTTGATACGTTTGATCAGGTGCGGAAAGATGGAGCTTAGCGGTAAACACAGCTACCTTTCCGTCGTCTGACTACCACTTTAAAACCAAATACACCGAATTTGGTTTGGGTATCCGAGTAAGTTCGATAGTTTTTATACAGCTGAATTATGAATTAAGGTTGAGTACATTAGCCTATACAAGGGTAAACAAGTAACATTACTATAAATATTTCCGTTTTATTGATACTAGAAAGATTAGAACTAGATTACATGGGATTTAGTCCAAATCACAGATATGACACAGACATTCTGCACCTAGCTGTCAAACAAAAGCCTTTTGAATGAATGAATTCCTGACTAACAGAACCTCTTGTCATATTCGTAGAAAACAAATAAACAATAATTACGGGCGAATAATAGAGAAACAAATGATTACTTTTATGTAGGGAGAGCATATTTATTTATTTATTTGAACAAATAAATATTGGTACAATGGGAACCGAATACATATGCGACACACAAGTCACATAAATGTGTGTGGGCTGTGATACTGCCCGTATGCCCAGACTGAAGCTGGTGGTTTCCTTAGGGTGTCACACTCCGAGCCTTCGACCTAAAGATCTAATCCACAGGGCAGTGGAGTAACGTAAGCAGATGCAGTCCCATATTAGCCGTTGACCAACGATTGGTTCATACACCATTTATTCCCTCAGGATCCTGGAGCCTATGTGCATCATTGGTTTGGAATCAGGGTTTTCCAACTTCCCTAAGTGGACTCTCCGTGCCCACCAACCCGGTTAAAGCGCCGGACATTCGCTTTTCGTCCTCCCGATTTCGTAAACACCACCCTTACCACGAGAAGGGAGTGAGTGGGACTTCCCTGTCAGTGGCAGTATAAACGTGTCCATGTGAGAGCATTATGAGAGGGAGAGCGAGCTCTTCGCACTCTCGGCTGTACCAGGGCATTTGAAGGCTCAAGGATTATTCGAACGATACTATTTGAACTTAAAATTCTAGAAAAACGTTAACCCCTTTAATCTTATAAGTTCGAATAAATTAGGAAAAAAAACTCCCTGATAAACTGTGAGATAATGTTTATAGACCCAACACAATCGACACTACAACACTAAAACAGTTATAAGTATTTTAGTTTAGTGTGGTCTTATTGTCGTTCGAATTGTATGCTTTTACACAATAAATTGACCATGAAAGGAAGTGGGAACCAAGATGGAAGTTTCGTACTATTTGGTACTTATCATCCGGATGCACTCGTATTTGTGTTTTTTTATGTTGACAAACAAACCTATTGTCTTACGCCGCAAACAACCAAAGCGTTATCCATTAACTATGGAGTCTAAATAGCCACTAACGTATTATATATATATATATATATATATATATATATATATATATATATATATATTTAAAAACAAAATTTTAAAATTTTGTTTATATCACCATTCTCTATTCCTAGTGCATGTCTTTTTTCTTGGAAAATGTATTTCTCACTCTCAAGAAGAAGGTATCTTATCAGTTTATTATTAACTTCGAAACAGTCATAGACAATACCATTTATCTAAAATATTACAAACACAAATATATGGAGGAAAAAAGAATTGACTTACTTGAAGTAATGATTTAAAATTATGAAATACATCTGGTCCGATTGCTCCCTTTGCTAAACTAATTACAACTAGTCCGATAACCTGTACGTTTTGAATTTAATAAGAAACAGATAACTCATTTGTTACAAAAAAGTTTGATAAATCAACAAGTGTGTATAGAAGAGACAATTTTCAACAAACAAACTATAGATAAATATATGGATGGATATCTAATGACATTCAATCAAACTGGTTTATTGAAGTGAACGTAGTTCATATAAGAAAAAACTCAGTCAACTTTCCATTTAGTTTACAACTGAAACTAACAACGACTTAATCCAAGTATGGTGAATAGAAGAACAGCAAGATTTTTACCAATTATTAACGAACAAATATATTTGATGGAGATTGTCAGCTTAGATGTATACTTTTGTTGATGTTGAGTTTTCTGAGTTACATGGTCTAAGTACAAATCATTAATTGTTTTTCCGGAAAACATTATCATTCATCATCTTATGGATATGTATATAACAAGAAAAAACAACGAAAATAAGTAAGGATTCGCGATTTCAGTTTAATATTCACGACTACAATTGGTCAATCACATTGGATTACAGAATAACATGGATTCACTTTACCTTGTGGTTTCTTATCAACTGCTTACAACTATATATTTACTAAAATGTAACACTGAGGTACTACATAATGTAAAATCATTGAGATTGATGAAGGAATTAAAATAGTTTTGCTTAGAGGAGAGCCTGGGAGAAGAACCTACCTGTATTACAACTTGCCTAGGTGAAAATGGATATCTGGCTAAATTCATTAAGAAATGTGTTTAAACCAAATTACGTGTTGTATACGATACAGTGGAAAAGAAAACCTACTTATATCTGCGCTTCAAAGAAGATGAAACCACTGGAATAGTTAACGACAGGATAAATGACGCGATGAAGGTTGCTTATCCATCACCAACATTGATGAAGTTATGTGAAATGAACTGCTCACTCAAATAAACAAAAACTGAAAAATCCTCTTTTCCCAGTACCTCCCACTACATTTACCAATTTACATGTACGTGCCAAAGCACATATACTGGGAAAAGAGAGAAGAGTACAAGTTCGCATTTCCGAGCATGTTCCAAAGAATTTGAGACAGAGAGTCGCAACAGCTCTAAATAGTACAATAGCTCGGCATTTAATTGATACCAGATATCCTACGACATTCGACAATCCTTCAAAAAAATCAACAGACAATAGAACGCAGCTTCTCTTCGGTTCGCCGAAGCAATAGTAATAAGGAAACTCGAATCTGATTGATGTATCCAGAAAAAGACAGTAATCGACTTATCACTACCTTAGTAAATTACTATATTTTTCGTCACTGTTATTATTAATTTATTGGTGCTTCTTTTGCTATGTAGTCTTCATCGATGTCAATGGTTTCACATTATAGCATACCTCAATGTTAAATTTTAGTAGCTGATGAGAAACCATGAAATAAAGTGAATTCATATTGTTCTGACTTAATTGTTGTTTTGGCTTTATTAAAATTTGTAAAGAAAAGCAACCGCATAAAATTACAGTTTCCAGTTTATTTGGTATGTGATTATCAGTGGAATTTGGAACATGCGTTTCATCCTATTCGCGGCTCGCCCGATGGATAGACCTGAATTATAGTATTACAATTTGAACTGAGACTCGAACCTAGAAATTTCCAGCAATTTATTTATTTATTTTATTTATTTATTTGAACACATAAATATTGGTACAGAGGGGCACCAAATATATATGCGCCACACAAAACAATGATAATTTGAAGAGAAGGAGGAAAGAGAAAAAAAAAATAATGAACGTGGGGAATTATAAAAAAAAAGGGAGAGAGAGAGAACAATGGTGGGGGAAACGGAAAGGTACAATCAGAAGAGATCTTTCAGTTAAGGAAGATATAAACACTTTTTATGAAGAAAGTAAGAGGTTACAGCACGATCGCCACTGGCTTCTATTCTTAGCCATATCTGATAACGTCTCTAGCCACTGCGTTACACCGTCTCTCGGACCCCAACCAGGGAGTCGTGAAGGACCAACAGAAGCTAGCCCTTTGCAGCTTTCTTTCATACCACGACACCATGTCATATACTGACCACCTCTCCGCTTTTTCCAACCAGTCCCAGAGTCGGCAAATAATGCACGACGTGGAATTCTCTGGGACGACATTTGTAGAACATGTCCAAGCCACCGAAGTCGGTGTTTCAAGATGGTGACACCAATTGCACTATCATCTCTGTGACCGAACACACGATGCCGAACCTCTGCATTATTAACATGGTGTTGCCACTGGATGTCAGCAATCCTTCGGAGACAGCGATGATCGAGCACAGAGAGTCGTCTAACATCCTCAACTCGGAGAGGCCAGGTTTCACAAGCATAGAGCAAAACTGCTCTCACCGTCGCGTTGTAGATCCGACCTTTTACAGCCAGACTAACATCACGAAGGCGCCAAAGGTGGCCCAGATTGGCATAAGCCGCTCTGGCTTTCACTATACGAGCATTGATCTCATCACTCACACCACCACCAGCACTTATGCAGCTACCTAGATACACGAACTTCTCGACTACTTCTATCTGCTCACCATCCAGAGTGAGTACAGGATTAGAATCCTGCCAGTCTTGTAGAAGTACTTTGCACTTCGAAGGTGCAAAGCACATACCATACCTACGGACATTGATTGCCAACTGATTAAGTGCGGATTGCATAGCTTGGGCATTCTCGCACAGTAAGACAATATCATCCGCATACTCAAGGTCGAGAAGTCTTTCTCCAGGCAACAGATCCACACCACCATTACTTACATCCGTCAGAGCTGTTTCCAGAATGTCATCGATGGCAAAGTTGAAGAGGAATGGTGAGATTGGGCAACCTTGCCTAACCCCACTGCTTGAATGGAACAATGGAGAAAGGTGGTTGTATGCCCTCACCCCCAAATGCCCTGGTATGGCCGAGAGTGGGGAGAGTCCGCTCTCCTCGAAATGCTCTCACATGGCCACGCGTATATAGCCTCTGCCAGGGAAGTCCTACTCACTGCCTTCTCGTGGCATTACTGTTGTTTACGAAAATGAGAGGACGAAAAGCGAATGTCCGGCGCTATAACCGGATCCCAATTCTATGGTGCACATGGGCTCCAGTATCCTGCGGGAACAAATGGCGTATGAACCAACTTTTGGTCACCGGCTTCCATGGGACTGCATCTCCTCACGATGCTCCACTGCCTTGTGGACTAGACCCTTAGGTTAAAGGCTCGGGGTGTGGCCCCCTAAGAAAACCACCTGCTTCGGTCTGGGCACCCGGGCAGTATCCCAGACCACTCACTAAAACTATGATGAACAATTTGCTTATGGAAAATATTCCTTTCTATCTGATTAACATTGAAATAACTCGTACTATTATTATTATTATTGTTATTATTATTATTATTATTTTTATTATTATTACTCTACCACGTCATTTATTCACCCTCTCTTATTCCTACTTTATATATGCGTTTCGACCTAGACAGCAGCTCACCTATGGTGAAAATTCAGCTTTATCTAAACGTTCCCGAGTCACTGCCTGGTTGAAAATTGTATGTTACTACCGAACATGAGTACTGAAGCAGTTTTTCTGAAACCGCGTGCACCATTCAAACTGGCTACCTTCAACGTTCGCACACTTATGCAGGTCGGACAACAGATAGGACTGGCTATGTCTTTGGAAAGTCTTAATATTGATGTGTGTTGTCTATCCGAGACCCGTATTCAAGACTCTGGTGAAGTACTACAAGTTCGCTCTTCATCTGTCACTTCAAAAAGCTTGTTTTATGTGCGTTTATCCGGGGACCCTGTGGCATCTTCGTCTGGTCTTGCTGGCGTTGGTGTCGCACTAAGCGCTAGAGCTGAGGCAGCACTAGTCGACTGGATCCCCATTAACAGTCGGTTATGTGCCGTTAGATTAGAAAGTTCCATCAAAGTGAGAAGAAATCGGCGTGAGAAACGATGTCTTTTCGTCATCTCCGCCTATGCCCCGACAGATTGCAGCCCGGATGCAATCAAGGATGAGTTCTACCATCAGCTAACTGTTCTTCTCCAGAAAGTGCGTTCGACAGATATTGTAGTACTAGCTGGAGACTTGAATGCTCAGGTCGGGCGTCTAGGCACAGAAGAGAGTCGTTTAGGTGGCCGATGGGGACTCGTTGGTCGCAGGAAAGATAACGGGGAACGTCTACTGCAACTATGCACAGACCACAACCTGTTTCTGGCTAGCACTAACTTTCGGCACAGTCATCGCCGATGTGCCACCTGGCGTCCCCCTTCTGCATCTCAAGCCTGGACTCAGATTGATCACATCGCGATCAGCTACCGCTGGCGCGGTTGTGTACAAGACTGCCGCTCCTTTTGGAGTACCTATCTGGAATCTGATCATGCTCTGGTCTGCGCCAATCTTACCTTACTTTTCAGTGGACAACGAAGTGACCGTCAGCAAAGGATTGATGTTAGCAAGCTGGCTGCAACTTCTGTTGCTAGTAAGTACCGAACCGAGCTAGCTTCTAGGCTAGATACCATTCCACCGAAAAGTATAGATCAGCATTGGTTGCAATTGCATGACGCCATGAAAATGGCGGGTACAGTCTGTTGTGGGTTTGCGAAACGTCCCGCTTACAAGCACTGGGTTTCTTCTGGTTCCTTACAACTGATTGAAGCCCGTCGGTCTACTCCGGGTGACCGTGAGTTTGACCACAAACGAAGGATGTTACGTAATGAAATTGGGCAAAGCTTGCGTAAGGACCGAGAAGCCTGGTGGTCGGAGCGTGCCAGTGAGTTGGAAGCAGCAGCTGCATCTGGTAATTACCGGAAGCTCTTCCAGCTCATCCGAGCCACTGGCAGCAAGAAGTTTGGTGTGAGCGAAACAATCTGCGAGGATGACGGAACGCCAATCACTAACATCCATCGACGTCTTGGACGATGGGCAGAATTCTTTGAAGGGCAGTTCAACTGGCCTGCTGCTCCGGCAACATCGGTCAGACTGTCCTGCCCTCCATGGCCGGTGACGACTGATCCACCAAATGAGGCGGAAGTCCTCAAGGAACTCCAACTCTTGAAACGTTACAAATCACCGGGCACAGACGACTCACCTCCGGCTCTTTTCAAAGATGGTGGTGACTTTTTGACTAAGGAACTGACGACGTTGTTTACAAAGGTCTGGAAACTAGAGAGTGTACCAACGTCATGGAATGAGTCGATAGTTGTCCCTATCTTTAAAAAGGGTTCACGTCGTTCCTGTAACAACTATCGGGGGATAAGTCTACTTCCGATTGCGTCCAAGCTATTGGCTTCCGTCATACTTCGTAGGTTGTTCAGGACCCGAGAAGGATTGACTCGCGAGGAGCAGGCTGGGTTTCGTTCTGGTCGAGGATGTATTGATCATATCTTCACCCTCCGCCAAGTGTTAGAACACCGCCATACTTATCAAAGGCCAACAATCGTAGTGTTTCTTGATATCAGGGCTGCCTTCGATTCGTTGGACAGAACTGTTCTCTGGGATTGTCTATTGAAGAAGGGTGTGCCTGAGAAGTTTATTAACATCCTAAAAGCCCTATACACAATTTCCAGCAAACGAGTACCCAACAGGACAAAACGTGTATCCTAAATCCAGCAACTAAACATTTATCGGATATATTATTAAAAATGTCTGTTTTAGAGATTTTTGTTATGTATAAGCAAGATTTTCGCATTACATTGCTAGTGAAAATAATAAAAGTTTAGGAGAAGTAACAGTATTCACGAAAATGCAGTCAACTTTGTTAGGTTTTTATATTACAATAATTATGACATAATGAGCAAAGAGTTAAGTCTAACAATCAAGTTTTAATTTATTGGTGGCAGAGTGACCCATAAAGTGGATATCATTCAATCATTTACGATACCTAATCGCGTTTACTTTTTCGTTAATAATTTGTGTATGAGCATGTCATTTTATTTTAAAGAAACCATTCTTCTAGGTAATATTCTTGTTTTTAGTATCAGTTCATTCAATTGTTTTGAGTCAACAAACTTGTTCCGTAAGTAGCCATAAACAGACCTTTTTGTATTACTGCTACGTTTGGAGAGATTATGATATCACCTAAACAGGCTAATAGAAAGAAAGTCAGTAACACAACAACAGGACAGGCTACACTACTCACTGCACTCCAGCCCTGTTAAATAGAGGGAGAAGACTAGATTCAGCCGAAGAAAATGTATATTCTTCAAGAGGTCGGAAGCACGAACGAACAAGCATACAAACGAAACGTATGCACACAGCACAAAAATGACCTTGAAACACGTTACAAAATAGCGTATTGAAAGAGAAAACAAACCAAGAACAGTTAAGGCCCTTCCAAGTAGGTGCTTTTGAAGCGGAAATGAGAAATCCAAATACTCGAAATAAAATAAGACGTTTACCAAGTGATTTCTGGGGATCTAGCATCCACAACAAATACTGCATTTATCTATCGGTCCAAATTCGTTTCATTTATTTTGACAATCATAAACCCGTTAATTAAATCTGTTGGGGAGATCCAAAAAATTACTCGAAAAAAGTCCAATGGGGCCCTGTAAACACTGGGGAACATCTTGTCCAATCAGCATTGAAAAGAAGTGTCCCAGAGAAGTGGAGAGTCACGTGTCACATTTCCGATTGGATGATTACCTATCCTGCTACTATGTTTAATAGCGTTCCAGAGGCCCAAGGTCGTCTAAAAAGCTATGAGTACCCTAGATTTCCTGTACACTAACGTTAGAATAAAGCGTTTCTTACATATTTCGTGCCTTTTTTCCCATGTTCACGTTGCCGTGTAGATTTAGCCTGTGGGTAACCAGAATAGCTTAGGCAACTGTATCAAGCATTCAGTCGGAAGATATATCACAATCCTAAAATCATCCTACATAACAATTTATAAGGCCTGATGAATCGAATCGTTATGGTAACACTGTAACTAGTTTAAATAAGTATAATCCTATACTAAAGGAAACGAGACATCAACTTAGAACCAAATTCACATTTCCAATTATGGAATGGAGGAACACGAGTCACAAGTAATCACAATAAAGTAAGTATATAATCGAAGTTTATAAATTTATGTCTAAGAAAACCAAAAATCTATAAGTTATTAGGTAATATGGGAAGAAACAACAACTTATTTGAAGAACAGGATAATTAAAAATAAAATTAGAAACACCGAAGATTACTATAGGAGATGGGGTTGATGACAAATGTATTAATGGGGACAGAAACAATATCCCGTAGAAAACAACATTATTTAAAGAACTCTAATTAGAAAAAACAATGTAAATTGTTTAAACTCTGTCCTGAGAGTTGAAGGACTTTCATTCAGAAGAATTATGGCGCCTCTTGTTGAAATCCGAGATTTTCCGAAAACCACGAGACCGACGCCCCTTCTGACCACCACAGCAACAATTAATATAGATACATGGAATGTTCGGACAATGTAGGAGACTGGGAGGACTGATCAAATAGCTACGGAAATGAAGAGATACAACTTGGTGGTGCTCGGAATCAATGAAACACATTGGACCCAAGATGGACAGAAAAGGATAGATTTGGGAGAGATGCTGCTGTAATCTGATCACTACATGGACTGAGAGTAAGGAGCGAGAATGGTGACAGATTTGTAAATTTATGTGCCTTCAACAAAATGGTTATAGGCTGCACAATATTTCCCCACAAACGCATGCACAAAGCTACATGAATTTCACTGGATCACACTACAAAGAACTAGGTCGATCATATTTGCATCATTAAAAAGTTTACAAGGTCAATGGAAGACGTGAGAAGCAGAAGAGGAGCTGACACAGCTTCAGATCATCACCTGGTAGTTGACAAGATGAAACTGAAGCTAAAGAAGCACTGGACAGATAGAGAAATAGGATTACGAAGGCTTAATGCAGCCTTCCTTCGAGATACTGACAAACTCAACGAATTCAAGATAGCTCTCAATAACAGGTTCCAAGCCTTACAAGATCTACTGGAAGAAGAGGAAACTATAATGGCGGACAACTGGAAAGGGATCAAAGTAGCACTAACTCCAATGTGTCAGAAGGTTCTGGGACTCAAGAGGCATCATCATAAGTAATGGATTTTTATCAAGAACCTGGACAAGATTCAAGGAACGAAGAACGAGAATACAGCAATCAACAACATTCCAAGAAGAGCAAAGAAAGAGAGAGAGTCAATGAAATAGTCAAAAGGATAAATGGAAATTGCGTATATCGTTTATATGTCTTAGTGTCTTACCTGAACTAAACTTGTACGTTCAGACAATGTGAAGTCGGATTCATGTAGGCTGAGATGAGCAACTAATTGTTTGACTAGACTATGCGCCACCTGAGTTGTCTGAATAAAAATAGAAAACAAAGGCAAGAAACAGGCAAGCAAATATAAACTAATGAATAATTTGTACTAATTTTGTTTGAAAATATTAAAGTAATTTGACAATAGCTTTCATAATACGACTAATTGGTATCATTCAAAAAACAAGTGAAAAAAAATAAGTTAGAAAAATTAAAAAATTACTTTTTATGGTTTCTCCGAAAATCCCCATTTTATGGAAACAGAGAAATATAAATGTTCATCAGGTTCTGCATTTATAAATTTAAACTAATGTTTCAAAAGGATAGTCAAGTTTCAGGCAACCACATATTTGTGAGAATTACAGCAAACGAATATAGGACTGTTGGCAAAATAAAATGAAATCCCTAGTGTTGAAATGTCTATCATTCAATGTTAAGTTTATGGATCAATTGAATTTGTGAAATTAACAATTAGAATAAATATGGATAACATGAGGTCAGAGAAACAGTAATGTAATAACGAACCAAACTAAATGTTTGGTGAAAGATTTTATAATGTATAGTAGTAAGAATTCAGTAAGGAATAGTAAGATAAAGTGAGTAGTAGTTAACTTCACGTAGTTACAAGACTGAAGTACAAAACTATTCAAGTTAACATTGCATGATAGCCGTTCCAACAATAATAATTTCAGTTTATTCTAGCAAACTTCCTAAGTCCCCATCTTGTTACTTTTACGACGGTAGTATTCGCCTTAAAGTTGGTGATCCCTTATGAGCTTGATGAAAATATGTCAATAAAACTAATCTTCAATATTAATATTTCACTGAGCTCACAAAAAATAATGAATAAGTTGGTATTACATGAAAATGACGATTATTAGTGATAAATCATGAACCAATCAATGTTAGACTACCATTTGAAACCTGGAAACGTACGGGATCATGGACGAGCACTGATTAGGAGTCTCATACTTGAATTAAACGGCCGTCCATTGCTACCAGGTTTTCCATAATGGTTTAAAATTGACCAGACATACATAATTGTAGTGTATTAACTAATTAATTTACAGTAAATGGGATAAAATCGAATGTATCAGTTTGATGTCAGTGTAGCCTATGTTAATATTACTATGTTCTCATTTTACGCAATCGACCATCACATGAACAATAAGTAAATTAAAAATAAAATCACATTGTTTTACAGAGGAGAGTAGGCAATTCGGTTTATTATTTCCTAGTTTAATTTTCAATTTCATCTGATGTATTTCGGAGAAAAGCGATAAGTGGAAGAGATATTATCTTCTGAATTTCGATAAATGTTCACTAAACGCATTGTTCATATAGTCATTTTTTAGAAATAGAATAGATGCCAATCGACTCTTTTTTCTTCATATAAATTTATTAAATAACTCATAATGTTAAGTCGAGTTTCAGTGAAAATCACATTTACATAAATTAAATATACACTGAGAAATATAGATTTGCTCTCTCACTTCCCGTAAATTTACACATATTTCATTTATTGCAATTCGTTGTTTTTTCTACCACTAAACTTAATGAGTTTAGAAGGGTAACTTGTTTTTTAAAACCTATCAGCCAGCAAATCATACGTTCACTTCATATACTTCAGTCTGGATAACCGAATCTTATATCACTAGCTCTCATACAGTGCGTCTCATAATCAGTATATTGACTTGTGTTTGATAAATAAATTACACTAATATTTATGAAAATATGAGAAAATAATCATCAACTGATTTGATACTCGTGAGTAAATAGATCACAGTAGGAAAATTGTTGAGAACTAAGGAGAACATGACAATCTTTTCCCCTTAGTTTGTTAGTCCTTAGCTATTCGCACCTACAACCCAGCATAAGATGGAGCTCATGATCTTCGTGTACCACGGCGAATAATGACATTTGTAGAGTATTGAAGAAAACGAAACCAGGACGAAACAGATTTTCCTGTTCGTATGACGTCAGTGTAACTCCGCCTGGAGTCCCTTTCCGGGGGCTACTGCCGGTCCCAAGCCCGGATAAAGGAGGAGGGTTGGGCATGGGGTTAGCGACCCCATCCCGTAGAAAACTAACTCGCTAAAAAACGCTAACCAGAAAAGTTATTCAAACCATTTAAACTCTGCCCTGGGAGTCAGAAGGTCTTCGTTTAGAAGAATTATGACGACTCATGATGAAAGCCGAGTTCCGTCGGAAGTCACGAGGCCGATGCCCCATCTGACAACAGAAGGAACAATTTATTTAGGTACATGGAATGCTCGTACAATGTGGGGGACTGTGAGAGTTTTCCAAATTGCTGCAGAAATGAGGAGATACAATTTAGAGGTGCTTGGGATCAGTGAAACACATTGGACGGAAGTTGGACAACAACAACTAGCTTCAGGGGAGCTGCTGTTATACTCCGGACATGAAGAAGAAAATGCCCCACATACACAAGGAGTTGCATTGATGCTGTCCAAACAAGCACAAAATGCACTTATAGGATGGGAATCTCATGGACCAAGGATCATCAAAGCCTCCTTCAAAACAAAGAAAACGGGGATTACAATGAACGTCATCCAATGCTACGCGCCTACCAATGACTACAATGAAGACGCTAAAGATCAATTCTACGATAGGCTGCAGTCAATCGTCGAGAAGTGCCCAACAAAAGACCTGACTATTCTGATGGGAGACCTAAATGCCAAGGTTGGAATTGACAACACCGGATATGAAGAGATCATGGGACGACACGGACTGGGAGAAAGGAACGAAAATGGTGAGAGATTTGCAAATCTATGTGCCTTCAATAAACTGGTCATAGGCGGGACTATATTCCCACATAAACGCATACACAAAACCACATGGACTTCACCGGATCACACCACACAGAACCAAATCGACCATATCTGCATCAACAAAAAGTTCAGGAGGACGATGGAGGACGTGAGAACAAAGAGAGGAGCTGATATAGCATCAGATCATCACTTGCTGGTCGCCAAGATGAAATTGAAACTCAAGAGGCACTGGACAACGGGGAGGACAATATCACAAAAATTTAATACGGCTTTCCTTCGGGATAATGACAAACTCAACAAATTCAAGATAGCCCTCAACAATAAGTTCCAAGCCTTTCATGATCTACTCAATGGAGAAGGAACTACTATGGAGAGCAACTGGAAAGAGATAAAAGAGGCAATCACTTCAACATGTCATGAGGTTCTGGGCCAAAAGAAGCACCATCACAAGGATTGGATCACGGTCGATAAACTGGATAAGATTCAAGAAAGGAGGAACAAGAAAGTAGCAATCAATACCAGTCGAACAAGAGCAGAAAAAGTCAAGGCACAAGCTGAATACACAGAAGTAAACAAGCAAGTGAAAAGGAGCATCAGAACCGACAAACGTAAATATGTGGAAGATTTGGCAATTACGGCGGAAAAGGCTGCCAGAGAAGGAAACATGAGACAACTGTATGAAACAACAAAGAAACTCTCTGGAAATCACCGTAAACCAGAACGACCAGTGAAAAACAAGGAAGGCAAGATAATCACCAACATTGAAGAACAACGAAACAGGTGGGTAGAACACTTCAAAGAACCAGGACGAAACAGATTTTCCTGTTCGTATGACGTCAGTGTAACTCCGCCTGGAGTCCCTTTCCGGGGGCTACTGCCGGTCCCAAGCCCGGATAAAGGAGGAGGGTTGGGCATGGGGTTAGCGACCCCATCCCGTAGAAAACTAACTCGCTAAAAAACGCTAACCAGAAAAAATTATTCAAACCATTTAAACTCTACCCTGGGAGTCAGAAGGTCTTCGTTTAGAAGAATTATGACGACTCATGATGAAAGCCGAGTTCCGTCGGAAGTCACGAGGCCGATGCCCCATCTGACAACAGAAGGAACAATTTATTTAGGTACATGGAATGCTCGTACAATGTGGGGGACTGTGAGAGTTTTCCAAATTGCTGCAGAAATGAGGAGATACAATTTAGAGGTGCTTGGGATCAGTGAAACACATTAGACGGAAGTTGGACAACAACAACTAGCTTCAGGGGAGCTGCTGTTATACTCCGGACATGAAGAAGAAAATGCCCCACATACACAAGGAGTTGCATTGATGCTGTCCAAACAAGCACAAAATGCACTTATAGGATGGGAATCTCATGGACCAAGGATCATCAAAGCCTCCTTCAAAACAAAGAAAACGGGGATTACAATGAACGTCATCCAATGCTACGCGCCTACCAATGACTACAATGAAGACGCTAAAGATCAATTCTACGATAGGCTGCAGTCAATCGTCGAGAAGTGCCCAACAAAAGACCTGACTATTCTGATGGGAGACCTAAATGCCAAGGTTGGAATTGACAACACCGGATATGAAGAGATCATGGGACGACACGGACTGGGAGAAAGGAACGAAAATGGTGAGAGATTTGCAAATCTATGTGCCTTCAATAAACTGGTCATAGGCGGGACTATATTCCCACATAAACGCATACACAAAACCACATGGACTTCACCGGATCACACCACACAGAACCAAATCGACCATATCTGCATCAACAAAAAGTTCAGGAGGACGATGGAGGACGTGAGAACAAAGAGAGGAGCTGATATAGCATCAGATCATCACTTGCTGGTCGCCAAGATGAAATTGAAACTCAAGAGGCACTGGACAACGGGGAGGACAATATCACAAAAATTTAATACGGCTTTCCTTCGGGATAATGACAAACTCAACAAATTCAAGATAGCCCTCAACAATAAGTTCCAAGCCTTTCATGATCTACTCAATGGAGAAGGAACTACTATGGAGAGCAACTGGAAAGAGATAAAAGAGGCAATCACTTCAACATGTCATGAGGTTCTGGGCCAAAAGAAGCACCATCACAAGGATTGGATCACGGTCGATAAACTGGATAAGATTCAAGAAAGGAGGAACAAGAAAGTAGCAATCAATACCAGTCGAACAAGAGCAGAAAAAGTCAAGGCACAAGCTGAATACACAGAAGTAAACAAGCAAGTGAAAAGGAGCATCAGAACC